TGTGTCTTAATACAACACTGGATTTCCCACCCATTATTACGTTTTTAGAAGTGATGCTAACGCCTAAATGACAAATAAGGTTATTTCTAACTAATCACTGGTCACGGTGTTGTAAGATTTTTTCGTGGTGAATCACGGAATATCGGTGGATACGACTTGCTGTAGATCGGTTAACTAATTTTATGTCACTTCAATTATCCAGAAACTCTAATGATGTCATCTAGTGGCGAAACCTAATTTTAATATAGATTTTTCAACATCCTGGGAGCCGATATCGTAATTTTTTTCGATACCTATGATCCGCGGATAAATACGATAATTATTCATTTCAAAGTTTTAGTGAAGGCAAGGTAGGTACTACTATGTCCTTCAACCAGCAAAATATAATTTGTATGATAAATGACGTGTTTTGTTATTTAGTTGCATCAAAGATCCCGGATGCGACCCGATTAATTACTTTTGCGTCATATCTCCGCAATTATTGATATTTGATCTATTGAACTAGAAATCTTATCGGTTGTAGCACATCGTTTATTCGCTACTCTAAAGATAAATAAATTGTTTATCATATTTATACATTATTCATCAATTGGGTGCATTTTAGTAAAGTACTTACTTTCGAAGACAATGCTACAACTTTAATATTGAATTGTCGTACCACATCATCCAGTTTTCGACATCAGCCCCATGGCTGATCCATATCATGATATTGAGAAAACTATACTGCTTAGATGACGTAATTTGCCATTTTTTCTGGGAGTCTTAACTAAAACTAAAGTAAATCATTCAGTATTAACAGAGCACGGAAGCAGAAAAACATAATCTATTAGACTTTATTTTTTATTCAAATTTATCTCTAAGATAAAGAAAGTTCTTGCATTCTGAAATAATGTAGTCATTGTTTTTTGATAATTAAAGACTACACCTTCAGGGCTAAGAATCTCTTGTAGGCGGATAAAACTTACGAATATTACAAAAATAAAACGCCGAAAATAAAGAAGCATGGGAAAAATGTATTTTGATTAACACACAACTTCTACCTACCTATCTCAAAAATTCAAATAACAAATCCCATCGTACAACCAGTAATTGCTAGCAAACTTTATATTAATAACAAAATGTAATAATTATTTATTACATTAATAAACAGCAACAACAAATAACCATTTTTTTTAACTCATTAGGTTCTATAACAATGAGTCTAGACTCTAGGTTACTGTTTTACTTGCAAACGTAAAAAACCGAACCCCGGGCCGCTTGTATTACAAGATACTAAATATTTGTATTCTTGTATTCCGTTAAACACGAATATGATATCGATAAAATTATTAAATCGCATTCAAAATTATCCCGACGTTGTGTTACATTGCATTCATTCGTTTCATAGCAATTAACTAAATCATGAGAGTTGCCCCGATAGTATTGCCAGATGTAGGCACTCTCTTCAACTGTTAGATTACATTCATATAGTTATAATTGTATTGTTAGTTTATTTTATAGTTCTAATTTTAAAGTCGAGTCCTACATCAACTAGTAAGAGTAGTAAAACATACGATGTGGTTTTGTTTTTTTTCGTCTTTACACAATAATAATTTAATACCTTAAAAACAAATAATTAAATAGTTTCACATTATGAAAATGTCATTTTTGTTCACAATAAAAGTAAACAATAACTTACAGTCCACTAATTCTGCATTGATTTAAAATGTTTAAAACAAAGATTAAACAAGAAGAACGAAGAAACCAGAGACAATGTGAAGATATGGAAGTGATGTGCAATCATAAATCTGAGAATGAATGAAATGATGAGTTGTGAAGGTTATACAGTAAACTATAATTTACAAATGGTTAATTAATGTTATACAAACAATAAAATATGCTTAAGATTTACCAAACGATATATTATGGTAAATGGTAATGAAAAAAAGTCAACATAGTTATAATGCCTAATATATCTTATGATATTATATTTTATGAACCTTCACAGATCACAAATCATTCTTCACTCTTTGATTCCATCCTTGCGATGTTTCAACGGTTATAGAATATTGTAAGGTCAAACTCGCATTTTATTTTGAATCTGTATTTTTTCTTGACCGACTTATATCTTAAATAATAAACCAGAACTTGTTCATTATTTAAAACGTCACAATTTATGTTATTTAATTATTATAGACTAGCCGTTTCCCGCCCGCTTTGCTGGGCGAATTAAAATAGGAAATCAATAAAATTTTATGTTTCATTATTTTATTTTTTTTCATATTTTTATTATTCTTCTTTTTAACTTCCCGCTAAGAAAATTGAAATATTTCGAAAATCGAGTTTTTAACAGATGTTGACGTTTAGAGGTTCTAGGAAGCCTCCCCGAATGTTTCCGCTGTGAAGTCCGTATGGAAAAATTTTCATAAAAGTAAAACAGCAATAAAAAAATGAAGGAACGTTGGAATTTAATAAATAAATAGCCATAAACCATCTAGGTAATTTCGCATCGAATAATGGTAGTTTCATGTCGATACGATCAGTGGTTTAGGCGTGAAGGAGCCTCAAACGAAGACCATTTTTCTTTTATATATATAGATAGATTATCCAAGTTCTTAAATCGAACGTACATTTTTTATTAAATCAGACAAAAAGTTCGTATAAAAATTCAAACATAGCTAATTTTTGACACTTAGAATTCATTTTATGACGAAAATGTATATAGAACATATTTTTGAAATTTACACGATATATTTTATCGCGAGCCTACTTGGCTTCCATTCAGAATTTTTTTTAATAAAATTACATTAATTTAATGTTTTACATAACTAATTGTTATTACGGGCTGGCGTGCCTCAGTGCTCCAGCTCTCCACTGCGCCCGCAATCCACCCCGAGACACTGACACAGCAATTCTTGCTGCGATAGGGCCTTTATAGAATGTCTTTACTTATATTTATGTTTCCCATCGTTTAAACCATCCCTGAACTTCCACAAATATTTCAAGATCATAATTAGCCAAATCGGTTCATTATTTAAAATTGTAGGTAATAAATTTTAATATTATACGTTGTAAAACTAATTCATACAATAGTAACACTATGTTTTATAAGAATTCAAACTTACATTTATGGTAAGAGAACCTGAACCAAACAATAAATGTCTCGCAGTTCCATAACAAAGAATTGGGCACGTGTCTGTGACGTCGCCCGCTCAAGAATAGCGCGAACTTTATCAGTGTCAGTGAACGCGTGACGTCACAACAGCTGATAGTCATATTATATGGGTTGCGAAACTTTCATTGTATTACGAAGAGAGAGGAGGAATAGGCCTAATTAAACTTCCTATTTAAGGTTATGCCTTTGCGTAAAAGATTCGTATCGATGTCATAGTTTCATTTACTCATTATTTATTATTTCTGGTTTATTAGTTTAAAAGTTTACAGTAAAAAGTATTTAAGCATCGCCTTCGTTACAGATATGAAACGGAAAACCTCATTAGGAAATTACCATTTCTCTTTTTTTACAAAGAATGGCTTAACATCTAATTTATCTAATTAATTATCCCTTCTTAACGTTAACCTATTAAAAGATTTTGAAGGGACTCATACATATTTGAATCATAAGCCCTAAACACAACGTTAAAGCCACATATTAATATATTGTTGCTGATTGTATTCGTTAGATAATTTTTCCTTATTACCACTTCCATAAAACTCCTCAAGGCTAATTAACATATAAAATGTTTTATGAATTTTACACCTATGTCATTTACAATGAACTGTGACGTCAATACATATAATTTTACTCTGTTTTTTACTGAAAAATGATGACACGCAACATCCATCTTCTGTGCCCTAATCTATTCTTTGATTGGATATAGAACTATGGAAGCAACTTAGCGACAGTATAGCCCGACGCAGGCACTCTCTTATGCATTATTGAAGTGAAAAAAGGCGCATGAGGGTAAAATTTTTACGGAACGTCACGAAGATGTGCAGCGTTTTCGTCGAAGAAAAGGGAGGGAATGATTGAGACCGATTGAGAGAGAGAGTGAGAAGGGCGAATTACCTTATAGAAATCATATTTTAAAATTAAAATTTCGTAAAGAGAATATATTATACAGATGTAGTAGTAATGTAAAATTACTACTACATCTGTATGTTCACGACTTTTAAGCTCATTACATTATAAGTTTATTATTTAGATATAAGCGTACAAGCAATCTAATATAAGGAAGTAGATGCGACTGCCGAATGTGTTCCGACATTCCGTCTCATCCAAGGCTTTTTGTTTGTTTATTATGATTTACCCACACAATCATTGGAATAACATCCGTAGATGTTATTATTATTATAATTTTAAAAACAATTAAGTAATTTTGTTGTTTAATATGTTAAATTTATAATATTACAGATGTACAAACATATTTATTATTTCAGCTTAAACATTTTTTTATGAGTTTAACATTATAAATGAAATAAATTTAATGTTTTTATCGTAACTTTATAGTAGCAAGTAAAATATGCGTAATGTAAGTTGTAAGAATTTTACTTATTTACATATACATATACTCTGATTTTTAATAAAACGCACAAGAAAAGATAATATTTTTTTAAAGGTTTACTAAACCTGGAATTAGTGGCAGTGATGCCAGCTAAAGAATAAAATAAAGTTAATTCGATATATAGTATGTGTTATTATGTGGTAATAATATAATAATTATTGTCACCTTTATAGATGTCACCGAAAAGGTTTCAAATTATTATTATATCAAACTACCACAGCCATAATCGTCTGACACACATACTCCCACGCTCATAACGATACTATAATATTGCGTGAATGACGCTTTGTTCTAATAGATACATTGAAATAAAAATAAATGTGTTCATATAATATAGATATGCACAATGCACATATTATTTCTTCTTGGGTCAGTGTACACTGTACAGCGACCTCTGATTATGCCGAAAATTCGCGCTTGTTAGGTATGTACTTAATAAATTGTTGCATTGCAAAGATGGCAATTCGGCAGTTGGCCCTCTGCCTTAATCTCAATGTGCCTGATGGGTACGTCCGGAGACACCGTCAGTTTCTACATGTGCCCACAGCTGGGACTAGTATTAATCAAGTAATTTTATATATATTTTTTTAATAGACTTAAAAAAGTCTGGTTTTTATTGTTACAGTATTTTTTACGTATGTCATATTTACCTAGTCCCGACATTAAAACCCTAAAGCTTAGGTTTCCTAGAAAAGCGGTGCCGTTATCTAACGGCCGTAATATAAAGTTGGTTGACGTCACCCATACGTTGTCTATAAATAACATCGGAGTAGGTTTTCTAGAGAACGTTGAGTGTCACCGTAACGTCATTTGCATGACGGCCGTCATAGCGGTCATAAACATTAGTTCAACGGTTGTCGCGTGTAGCGGTGCCCATATTTAATTAATACAATGAGTGGAAAATGATTGTTTTTTTTTGCATTATGTTAAAAATAAAGACGGCCGTTATTAACAACCGTAAAATGACGGCCGTTAGTTAACCACCACCAGTTAAGCACCGCTCTTCTAGGAAACCTAAGGAAAACGCTGTCAAGCTGACACAAGCTGAATATCGAATCTATAGATAAGTACCAGATATATATTGTATTTTAAAACAATTGTACTAGTCGTCATTAAATCTTGAAGGTGTCATTCGCGTGTTGGTTTCAATTATTTTAGCCCTTGAGCATCTTTAATGTCTTTTAGCTGTTTAAGTGGTTCTCGTTTTATATTTCAGAAGCTTTTTAAATATTCAATATGACCACAAATCCTAATTAAAAAATACATATCTACTCTTAATCTACGAGTATATTTTTAAGTTGTCAATTTTCAAATGTTATGAAAAGGTCCAACAGAATTCGCAAAACCCTTTTTTTATTAATAATAATAATCCAGTAGCGCTACAACCCTATATGGGATTGAATCCGTTTCTTTGATCATTTTATTTCATAAACGAGTAAGTGATCAGCCTTTTGTCTGGTACATGTCGTCGATACACCAAAATGGACCAATTGCTTAAAAACTATAACAATTTACTATTCCTTATAATTTCAAATTAGGTCGTTACCAAAACATATAGCCTTTGTTAACCTTTTAATAATATTAAAATTAATTGTATTGATAAGTTATTGTTACTATGCAATCATTTAAATATTTACAATTTCTTAATTTTATTGAGAAGGTTTTCTAAAATGACACACTATTGTTAGTACATTCTGGTCAAACGTATTTGTCATCCGACAGTGGAATTTGAACTTAAATGAGATATCGTATTGTACTTTGAACATAATGTAAACAGTTAATTAGTTGACAATTGACTTATAATGGGAGTATACCTATATATACCTACCTCGGTGCATAACTATGTATATTAATATTACCAAGAATTGAAGTCATTTGTTTTTTTACTTTAAGTGATATAAGAGTTATTTTCTAGCTAGAAATGCTTAATTCTACTTAGAAATATGCCACCAGACAGCCTGTTTGATTAAAGAGTTATGCGAATAAATCTTAGAAGGTCGTTATGACGTCTTGCTCGTGTCCAATGAATATTGTTCTCAGCTAATATTGGTCCTATTCATATTCAGAACAAAACATAGACTTTTTTTCTTCTATCCAAAACATATATATATGTCCAAAACATATGTATATATATACCGTTTTTTATACATTTTCTGTGGATGTTATAGTGTATATTGGATTCTGGTATAGCGTTTGAAAAACAGACGTTAAAACACATTTTTTCATCTCAATCGTGCCGTTTATTTGTCTTAGAGCTTGAAAAAAGTTCGATATTTGATTCATTTTAGGCCAAAGTTTCCAATTTTTCCCGTCGCCTTGTCATCTATTAATCACAATTTGATCACGTTTGTGGCATACAATTTGCATGTTTTTGTAGAACATAATTGTATTCGTTGATAAGTGATAACTGTAATCATAATAAATATAAAGTTATTTTACGTATTTTAAAGAAATCTCTATGTCTTACGAATATAATATTTACTTTTGTAGGTACTTACTTGTTCTAAAGCTAGCACATTTTTATGTTATGTATGTGTTTATGTTTTATGTTATAAATCAGTTGTAATGGTCACAATAAGTTAATATAAATAAGTTTTTTTTTGTATTCCAATTTATTCCACGTAGAATCCTTCTACATAGGAAATAGTATAGCTCTCTCCTATACCCATATATAATAGAAAAATTATTCTTTGGGACCCCTTTTGCACTGTGAGGACTGAGGTTTTATAAAGGTAGAATTATAAAAAACCTCACCATATTTGACGTTATAAACATTTCATAATGTATCAAAATCGTAAATTAACAATATGCGTAGATATCTCTCAATCATTGTGAATTGAAATAAATAATATTTAATGACTAAAGTTATTTTACAATTATGTGTAAATTATCACCATTTAACATTACAACAGTCACGCTCAACACATTATTACGCCATTCTGAAATTCATGTGTTGCAATAAATATGATAATAACCAGTGATTTATTAATAATACATAATATCAAGTCAGTATTATATTTTTTTCAGGCACAAAAGAAATTTTACACAGCGTGAATGGCAGACTTCGGCCTAAACAGTTAATTGCTATTATGGGGCCATCAGGCGCGGGAAAATCCACATTACTAGATGTCCTCTCTGGATACAGAATATCTGGAGTTGGTGGCTCTATATTTATTAATGGAAGGGATAGAAATATGAGTAAGTTATAATGAATTATATATATATATATTAATATTCTTCATGTATTTTCAATTACACCTTTCTAGCACTACTTTTGTATAGAAGAATATTCAAATGCTTAGCATTTTCAGCATTTAACAATGACGATATAAAAATGAACTAAATTAAGTATATTGAATGGTTAAAATAAAATATTGTAAATGTATATTAACTTACCTTATCATAAATTAATTTAATTTGTTACATTTTTTTTTTAATTTAAATTATTATAATTAGTTCTCAATATTGCTACACAATACATGTAACTGGGATGTTACAGGCTCCTGAAATGTAGTTCTCACTTCATCAGGAACCTGGGATACATGTTTGTTATATAACTTGTTTATGGCAATAAATAAAATTAATTAATTATTAATTATAAGCTTTATTGCTTAATAATTTTAACTATCGTTCTCTTTGATAAATATAAAACGTTATTTGAATACATGAAGAAACACATATTAAACCTAAATTTTTTGCTTGTTATACATATAAACTTGAAAAGAATAACAAAATGTAACTTAAGCTGTGCTTGAAAATAATAATTACTAAAGAGGGTCATGGGTTTCAACTCTGGTTGTTCACTTTAAACATTTACTATGTGTTCACTGTGCAATGAATACTTGCACGTATGCAATCTCAGTATGAATTCTATACATCAAAAACGTACTGAATTCCAACGAAAATATCGAATGTAATTAGCGAAGAAGCTAAAATATTTATAAAATTATTTCAGAGCGCTTCAAGAAAATGTCATGTTATATTCAGCAAGACGACCGATTGCAAGGATTACTTACAGTCAGCGAAAATATGACGTTAGCTGCTGATCTCAAACTGCCCACTAAACTAGACAAATATGAAAAAGGAGAAGTGGTAAATACGTAATTTCTCTCACATCTGCGACAAAAAAGACTATCTTACGACTACTTAGGCCTTTTTTGTATAGAAACTTTTGTTAAATTAGTTTTTTGTTTTTTTTTGTAAGTTCTATAACAACTGCATGTTGATTTAAAACTTTGAAGCTTGCTTAAATATTACAACTTAAAAATTACAAAGAAGCAAGGAAAAAAACACAAGAACAAAAGCAAAAATAAGAACCTAAATAGAACCTTGAACACTTAAACCTCATTTAGAGTATAATAAAAACCATTACGTTTTTTTCCGGGGTACGTTTAAGGTGAGCTTGAATAAGTTGTCATTATTGTTATATGAAAATATAACAGAAATAGTAAGGAGAAAACGGTGCATATTGAAGCTTAGTAAAACTTTAACGTTATACTGCTATACTATAATATTATATAAGTAATAAACTTATAACGACATATATTGTTTGTATAAGTACTCACATTTTACAACATACTAATTTGTTAAAAAAATTACGATCTTAAAGTTTCTTAGTATGTTTTATAAGTAAGGAATATTAACAGTTGAATAATCCTAAACTCATCCAAAAGGAAAACGCTTTTACGTATTTGTAAATTCTTTTTTTTTAGATAGAAGATATTCTTACAAATCTCGGTCTGTATGAACATATGCATACCAGAGGCGCCCAGCTTTCCGGTGGTCAAAGAAAACGTCTTTCAATTGCCTTAGAACTCATAAACAACCCTCTAGTCATGTTCCTCGATGAGCCTACAACGTAAGTATTCTTAATGGGAATTTTAAGTCTTAATAATAATAGTCTTAAATTTCTACATTTCATTCTGATTATCTGAGACCTATCTTCTTATAATGACAATTATAAAAAATATGTTTTAATTGCACATATAGAAATAAGAATACTTTACACAGCTGGGGTGGGGTTGTAACGCACTCGGAGTTGATAATTGCACGATTATAGTAATATATAGCCGACATATTATAGTTTACAATCTGTTTACCACCAAAATTAAAGAACTAACATAGTATCTTTTATTCGTAGTTTTTTTATGATTTCCTGTTTGAATTGCTTATCAAGCAAAGTAATGTATTTCGTGTTTTTGTAATTAATATATTAATTTTATCATGCCAGGCATGAAGAGTTTACGCAGTTGTTTTGTGATATATGTATTTGTACATTTTAAAGTATGTATGCATAATGTATATATTTAAAAAAACTTCCCATTAATGACGAGAACGATATCTCTGTCCACTCCAATACGGCGGACATTAATATGACCTTAGACCTCACAAATCTATCAGAATCTGCACGATTTATACGTCTCGACGAAAATACCGAAAATATTTAATTAAAGATTTTTTTATTACCTGTTAACTTAGTATTATAAAAAGAAAGTATTTTTTATTGAATGCGCTAATCTAGAAAGTACAGATTTAAAATTAAATTTCGTCCTTTTGTGTTTCATAGCCATTAACGCCTTACGCAGGTTGTAGCTACAAAGCCTTATGAAACCACAAGGAACCAGTAATAAATAAAAATAAACCTATATTTCAGGGGTCTAGACAGTTCATCCTGCACGCAAGTGGTGCAACTATGCCAAAGCCTTGCACACCAAGGCAGGACCATAGTATGCACAGTGCATCAACCATCGGCTTCACTGTTCGCTGTTTTTGATGCCGTGTATGTCTTGGCATCAGGTCAATGTCTGTACCAGGGTACCACTAAGAATCTTGTACCGTATGTGGAAGAAGCTGGAATACCTTGCCCAATTTATCACAACCCAGCCGATTATGGTAATTTATATTTACACAATTGTATTAAAATTTACATGTATTTTAATAACACTTCTTTAATGAATACACGCGAATTGATTGAAATATTTCCATATGTCAAAGTTTTGAGTGCTTCATGAAATGTGTGTTATTAATTAAATATAAATAAATCATTGACACAAATACATGGCATTGCCCATTAATTCTGTGAACAATGGGTCTAAATAGTTTTGGCTAAACGCATTTCTAACAGGCAAGTAGGAGCTTTCTGTGCCTGACATACGCCGTCGACTTTGTGGGTCTAAGTCAAACCGGTTTCCTCACGTGTGCTTTTATGCATGCATGTGCATGTGTTTATTCGCCGTACGAGCGAGTTAAATGCGCACATAGAAAGTCCATTGGTGCACAGGCAGTGTTCGAACCTACAACAGAGTCATCGCACAATATGCGACTTGAGTCACTACTGCCTATTTTAGTCTAAAACATCTTGTCGAGTATTTTTTCTAAGGCAATCATTTAAAATAAAAATTTCTTATTAAACCTTTCTATCAGATAATCTACGGTACTTTTATATTACAGTTATTGAAATTGCATCCGGAGAGTACGGCGAGGATAAATTAGAACTTCTCACAAAAAAGATAGATAATGGCAAAGCTCATAACTGGTTTGATGATCATGAGTCTCTACCAACAATGGAGTCTCTAAGAAAACTATATCCATTAAGCGCTCTGAAGGAAATAGATGAAAGCTCAGGTTCAGAAGAAACGTCACAGGCGAATCAAAGATCTGTACTTATTCGGCGAGGGTTCTTGAAGGCGAAGCGAGATGCTGTAAGTAACAGGTGTTTAAACTAGTTTCTTTTGAGTTTGATATTAAAATGTAGATCATGACACTGTCAGAATACACCTAGGATTTATACAACTTAATCTTCAAAACTTAAGTAATTAAAACCATGTACCACTTAAGTAAGTAAAACCATATAAAGTTATCAAAAGCTCCATCGTCACTCCCTCAAAGTCAGATTTGCTCTCAAAAACAAACTTAGGATCCCTCGATTTCTTCCTCGTTTTCCTATAAAACCTTTTGCCATTCCCTTTCGCAGAACTCTCCTAGGTACTCTGCTATTCCTAGGATGTGTATGTTAACTAATAATTTTTCCCCTGAACATGAAACCTCCCAAAATCTTGCGATATGTTATCATTAATTATATTTCTCGCTTTTTAAATCACATATTTAAAGTTTGTAAGAATTATGTTAGCAATAGTGAAGTGTGTGTAAAGCATTCTGTGTTTGTCTATTAAAAAGTGTACAATTAGTTTTTTGTTATTTCGGTTTTCTCTACTGTGAAATTAAGGACAGACCCATCAGTGTGACGGCTTTACTTGTGATTTTCCTTTTTTAATATGCACCTTCCCAAAACCTTACCAATGCACCTAAAACTGGCAAGCATAGGTCTTACGGAAATTGAATTGAATCGAAAATGGTCTTAAGTATTAAGAAAATGTTTTACAGACAATGACCCACTTACGTATTATGGTCAACATAGTGGTGGGTATCATGTTGGGGACGCTCTTCATCAACGCTGGCAATGAGGGCTCTCGAGTTCTGGATAACTACAATCTGCTCTTCGCTATTTTAATGCATCATATGATGTCACCAATGATGCTTACGATACTCACGTGTAAGTTTATTTGCTATAGATATTTTTATTATTTTATTTTTCTATTAATTTTGGTTTCTCGCTTTGCTTTTAGCTATTACTACCACACCCATAAAGGATTTTATGTAAAATAAAACATAAATTTTCTTCAATTTATTGTTTTAATTTTGTACTTTCTACATAAACTAGATAATTTCGCGCCTTTAACAAACTTATAGCAATTATTCTTATTTCGCACAAATAAAAATTATCTGCACAGAGTTTAATTAAATAGAAACAAAAATTCTGATTAACGTTTTGGTTATTTATTAACTAACTAGGAAACCGTAATAATATATGTGTTTCCGCCATTTCCAGTCCCATCAGAGATGTCTATCTTACTTAAGGAGCATTTTAATAGATGGTATTCTTTGGGGTCCTACTACGTATCTGTGACCATCGTGGATTTGCCAATATCTGTAAGTAGATTTTGTTATTTTTTCGGCTGGGCTTATCTCCTTTTTTGGAGGATTTTTGCCCTAGTAGTATATTTTTCATCACAATAGGACTATTTGTCTATTTGCGCATTTAACATTGCTCGCACGGGGAAGCAAAACAACATGAGGAGTGCCAGACCCAAAAAGTCGACGGCATAAGTCAGGCACAGAGGGCTTATCAACTGTTTTATTAGAATAAACAAGTGACCACGAATCAGATACAAATCAGACCTTAAAGTTTGTAGCGCCTCTGTTTTAATGTATGAAAACGGGGGAGGTTCTTTCATATTGAAAGAACGAACAGTGAAAGAGTGCTCAACTGCCAAGAAGTATTTTATTCGAAAAGCTACTGATATTGAATTCAGTAAGCCAAGATTTTAGTAAAGAAATTTATTGGAAATTAATTTGCCGTCATGTATTTCCAGATATTTTCATGCGCAATATTCAGCGTGATCGTGTACATTATGTCGTCCCAGCCACTGGAAATAACACGATTCGCGATGTTCTTCACAATATCACTACTCACAGTTCTAGTAGCACAGAGTTTCGGTCTTATGGTGGGCGCCGTGTTTAATGTTGTTGTAAGTACTATTTCTTATTTTATCACAATCTAGGGGTGAAATTCAGATACGAATAGTCTTGAATTTCACCCCTAGATCCCATATGTCAAAATCCAATACATTTTTGAAGTTAGTTTCTGTTTTCCCTAAGGTATTGCTAAGTTTATTCGTTTGTAATCAGAATGTCATTATTACTTTAGCTAAGCGGCTTCAAAAGGGTTCTTGGTGGACCTGTTGACGTGATAATTATGATGATCTATTTACCACGTATGTTTTTGTAAGCGTATGTCTGTCCACAAATATCTTAATACAGAATAGTTGCTGAATGTCTATCAGGAATATTCTAAGGATTATTCCTTGTTTATCGCATATTGGGTTAATAGTTTTGAGTTATCCACGCGTTTTAGGTAAATAAATTGTAATTTATTTTTCAGTTGATAGGTTTTTTAAATTTACTATACATTATAAACAACTAGCGACACGCCCCTGCTTCGCACGGTTGCAATGCTGATACTAAATACACTACAGAAAAACTGTGAACGTTTTCAAAGATTTTTTTTTTGAAAAAATGTTATCGTGGGATATCCATAAGAGATAGACATATACCATCGCGGAGTTTCCTGTAGACCTTTTCAATGTGTAAAATACTTAGTACTTTATTTTGATAAATCTCGTAGGGTTCAGCCTGCGTTTGCAATGTAAGCGGAAAAAATGTAATTATTTACATCACTATATTTTATTATTATTTTTATTATTACTATATATTTTTTCTATAGTAGTATCGAGGCACATCATAAAGTCAATTGGCTCTTTATAAGAAATAAATAATTTATCAATTGTACCCAACACATAATAATAGAATGTTTAACCAGGAGTTAAAATATTTGTTTTTTTTACAAAATTAGTATTTTTGTATGACTCTGAGCTGATTAAAAAAAAAATAGATATTTAAAAGTAATACGGTCTGTTTAAATAATGTTGTTGCAAAATAGAAATACCATAATTTTATCAATCCACATGCTTGACAGTATAAGAAATAAACTGTTATTTAAAGTAATCTCTATTCATGACTTAAAAAATATGTCAAAAATTATAAATGGTATACTTAATAATAATTTTCTGTTTCATAAATATTGTTTATCTATGTAATCTGTTTTGGCTTTGTATATTGTTTTATAATATGTATGTAAGCTGTAAGATTACTTATAAATAAATAAATACCATAATAGTTAAAAATAATAATCATTGTTTTTTTACACGTCAGTGACACTGTTACAATTAATCAAATCGACGATGATCATTTAAAGTTAAATTACACACAATGACAGTTATATATATATTTTCAGAACGGCACCTTCCTTGGACCAACTCTCTCTGTACCAATGATGATGTTCGCTGGCTTTGGAGTGACTTTACGTGACCTTCCGCCATACCTTTACTGGGGATCCTACGTGTCCTACTTACGATACGGCCTCGAGGGCTACATCAGCGCCATTTACGGCCTCAACAGACAGACTCTAGCCTGTGATGAGGCTGAATACTGTCATTATAAGTGAGTGTTATTGGTATATATAATTGTCAATTCTTTTAGTTGTGTACCTTATTTGGTATTAGCATGTCCTTTTAAGGTACTGAGTATTGTAATGAAACGATGCTCTTTAGGACACGGCTATTTAATATGAGTGTTGGTACAATACTGATCTATCTTAAAACATTGCTGCATTTATATTAATCATGTAGACACAGTACATCCCCCTTAATAAAATAAAAAAAAATTACATAGCAAATGTTACAATAACAAGGTAGCATAATTTCTATTACACTTCATTACCAACTCAAGAACTTAATTTAAGATGTGGATACACAATAAAATCTAAAATATAAATGCCAATAAAATCTAACTGCCGTATTCGTCGTGGCGTATCATTTTTTCCAATAGTATTTTTCAGAAGTGAATGTACAATAGGCTTATGAGTTATGATCTGTATATATCGTGAGTAACCAGCCTTCTACACAGTATCGAAAATGTTTAATGGCTTGGTAAATCCCTTATAACTCTCTGTCATATGTAGAATATCTTTATTGAGCTTCTTTGAATATTTTTTGTTTCATAAGAATTCATCATTTCCTGATATTCATCTTCTCTTGACAATAACAAATACAACAAAAAAAGAATTAGCGAAATCGGTCCAGCCGTTCATGCGTGATGCCGTGACCAATGGAAATAGGGATTCATTGTTATATATTATGTTAGTTATTATATACGTCAATATTATAAATATTTTTTTGACATCTAGAACGTATCAATTTTTATAAGATTTGTATAGTTCGAATTCTATTGGGCATGTTCGTTCTTCCCTTCCGTTTCCGTTTAGTTTCATATACGCTGACGAAACATTTATAAAGCGTTACTTATCTATTACGATAGCTACTCGATTTAATGTATTGATCGTATCTTTGATCATTCTGAACGGACTATTTTGTTGGGAGATGAATATTTCTGAGTTATTAACACATGGTCTCTCGTTGTTAAATATTATCGTTTTAAGAGTTTTTTTCTTTTCCAGACACCCCAAAGTGTTCCTCAAGGATGTAGCAATGGACCCAAATATGTTTTGGTGGGACACCGCCGCTCTTACAACCATACTCCTAGTATTACGTACCGCAGCGTTCCTTCTTCTTAGGTGGAAACTTAGCGCCGTGCGATAAGTATATTTTAAATTAATAATTTGCAGTCCTAGGTTTGATTACCAGCATAATACATTTCAGATTGTGCACCCAGTGGCGTAGCAAGGGGGGGTAGGCGGGGGCGGTCCGCACCGGGTGTTACCTTTTTTGGGTTGACACCCACCCAGTCTCTCAACTTTAAGAACAATATACAAACAAAAAAAAATAGATAGCATAAAAATTTATTTTTAATGGATTCCTCCACTAGCACTAGCTCAGCTCTATTAGAATTCGGGGATTCCCGCAAAAGAGTCTGAAGCTGTCGTGGGGGATTCCCCGTCCCATACTCGCCATCTTTGTCCTTTATCATATAAAATTTATTGCTTTTTACTTTCGATGGGGTGACACCACCAACTGCCGCACCGGGTGCCACCCAAGGTAGCTACGCCACTGTGTGCACCTATAGACAAAAACGATAAATAAACATGCCTAAGCCCCAGGGTGCTCATTTAAGTTATTTAATTTTAAACAAGACTTTGAAAGCAACATTGTCTCAACGTTACTTAAATTAGTTAATCATCTTATATTAAAGGTATTAAAATCCATATCTATTCAAAGTAATATTGATGCAATCTTGCTAACAGTTAGACATGCCTCTTGTATTGGCAGCGTTTTTCTATATTAAATGCGCTTTCCATAAAATTTACGGATCGTAGAGAGTACGACTGATATTTCGTTATAGAACCTCACAAAATAGTTGTTAATTGTTTCACAGCTGTCTGTGTTGCCTATTAAGTAGTTTAATTCAGAATTGAGACTTAGCGCGAACTATGACAGGTATGTCAAAATCCAATAATTTTTTGACATAACCGATACTCAGCTCTAAGTCTAGATTCAAAATCTTACCCTTGAAGACACAAGCTCAAGTTCAATTATACTCACGAAAGAATTTCAATCGATTTTTTAATGAGTTGTTTTATAAATTTTTCCTCATTCACTCAATTTATTTTTAAATTGATTTTGGTAGTTCCAGACTTCCTACAAACAAAATTTGTATCTTAAAATTATTATACCTTTGACAAGCGCCTCTTTTAAATCTCTAAGTCATTGTTCAGTATCGGTCTGGGCACACGGGTCATTTTATATTTTGTGTCAATTTTTTGTTAGTATCTCTTTCGTGAGACGAAATGTGTGTGAATTCGTATTAGCCCATATATTATATAAGGTTTGGGGTCCAAAGTGCTAAAATATTGCCATTTAATTTAATCATAAGTTTAACTTTAAAATGTGGTAATGCTACTGTGATAATGCGTTTAAAAATCGATTTGTTGAAGTCAAATTCATTAAAAAACAAAAGTGTATTTAATCTTAATTGTATTTTTCACTAAACTTAAAATAGTTATATAACCCTAATCATATTTAATTTGGACAAAGAAAACAGGACAAAAAATTTCGCCATTTAAGAAAAAAATAAAAGCTTTCAAAGGTTAAAATTAAAGAAAAAAGTCGAAGCAAACACATAATTGTATGTGATGTATTGTATAGCTTTATCCCTTCATAAAGAGTATAGTTGTTGATGTCGATTTAATGTAGTTATATTACGGTGATGTACCTACAATATAGTAGGATTTTTGTACACAAACATTTTGTTTATAATAGATAATAAATACTTTTAGATTAGCGAATTAGCTTTAAACTATAAGTTATGTTTTAGCAATAAAGTCCGAGGTTCTCTCGAAAAATGTATTTTTCAATAAAAATATAATTGTTTACCTTTTTTTATTATTAACAGGACCAACACTATCTGAATCTATCCCATAGTATCTTAAAACTAGATTCTAAATCTGATAATTAGGGTACGGGTATTTTAAAAGTAGTGTTACAGGTATTTAAAAGTTTATAATACATAGCTTCAATCCGTTAGAAAAGTGTTTTCTTTAAATGTGTAAAAGTTATTTTAATAAAAGACAATACTATTTTAAAATATCAATGTATAAGTATCTCAAACCCATAAATCTACGTTATTACAATGTAATCTTTCACTAAAATATTTATCATATTCTGGGAAATTATGTTTATATAATGAGCTGACACGAAGTTCGTTTTGCCGCTTAAAATTTTTTTTATAGCTACATAGTACATACATACGGAACATTTTGCTATGCTACCCCATAGAGACTTAAAGAAGGACTAAAATTTTGTTTTTTTTTAAACAAGTTTCTCTCCATAAAAAACCTTCCTCAAAGTTCAAGAAGTTAAAAAAGTACTCGAATTGGTCCAGCCGTCTTCGGGTACAGATGAAGAATCAGTTGCCAGAGTAGAAATACGAGTTATGCCAAGTATTCGTATACGTCATACTAATGTATTTTTTGACAGCTCGAACGTATTAACGTTTCATTGTATTTGTATGGTTTACTACACTAATTCTATTGTGCTTTTGTCTAGTTTTAAATACACCGGAGAGCTTCCAATTTTTCCAACAAACAAAATGGATCGTAACTTTTATATTGTAATTGTCAAAATGTCCTATTTTACTGTCCGAAACTTTCATCTTTTTTAGTACTTAGTTATTTTACAGAATTATACAATAATCATTAAATTTGAAAACCACTGTGGTTTTTAAACAATAGAAGCAGTCTAGTCAGGAGTGAAACAAACGTAATATAATAATAATATATAATAATGTAATATTTCTTTAACTTGTTTTTTTTTATGTTGGTTAAGCTGTTAAATAATAATAAAAAATGACCGGATAGTCCATCTACTAGTCACGGTAGTAAAATAATGATTTAACGTTTTCTCACCATAGACGTTTTTGTTTGCGAAGCCGAACTTGCCATAAACAACAGAAGCATTTGATAAGTGACCTTTTTGAATATGATTAATGATGTATTCCTTGAGACGTTAGATGACACTAACGAAATTGACAATTACAATCAAAAACATAGCTGTTAATAATAGGACTTAATGAAAATGCTAAAAAATTGCCGCTACTATGTGTAGATTTCATACGATGTAGATTATTGATAGAGTATATTGATAATATAATAATAAAAATAAATTGATTGGTTATTAGAATAAATGTAATTATAATATGAAAATTATTTATAATTAAATAACAATATATAATAGTCATAACGTAAATAAATTTGTTTATTTACCAATACATCATAGATTAGATATAGTAATATATTTTCTGTGATACCATACCATAAAATCAAAATTACACTCGTATTAAACGAAATTCACATAATACTGCGAAAGAGTCATCAAAACTTCTTTGCCTCATTTTTTATCTCCGTTTTCTTCCCCCACACGATGTCAATTAAACACCACTGTAGTGTATAGAAGAAGTAGAGTTCCAGATATGACATGAGTATAAGTAACCACACTTGATACCTACTGAACATGTTTAATACTGCGTAAACTACTATACCATTTGCGTAACTCACTGCGACCCTGCAACAATAGATCATTTTAAGTACGATATAATATCTGTATGTTATGGTTTTGTATTATCTGTTCAATAGTTTGTTTATGACATGGGTATATGGCATCTGTGTTGTCTATACTTGTAATATGTTTTTTTTATAGGACAGAGGGCAAAAAGGCAGGAGGCACACCTGATCTTTTTATTTCTTTATTTAAACCCCTTACATTAAAAGAAAAAGAAATAACATAAATAATTAGGTATGCATGGGTGGCTTATCGCTAACAAGCGATCTCTTCCAGGCATAAGGAAGGGCAAAACTAAAAAAAAAGGAAATATTAAGGGTAAAATGCAAGTGCATAACCAAATCAACAAAAATAAAATTACAAGTAACACTGAAAAATTATAGATTTACCAAACTAAGTAAAATGTTAAGTGCCCATGGAGACTAAATGCCAGAGAGCTCGCGAGTGCGTTGCCGGCATTTTTTGGCTATGGTTATGGCTGTGTAATGGTGATGGTTGTTTCGAGTAATATTTAATTGTGTAAGTTTTCTATGCAAGTCATTAAAATGATTAAAAGACAATAAACGTTTCATTTATGTATATACCTATATTTATATCTAATTTAAGTACAAATATTATGTACAGAATATTAAAAAGTAACAGAACGACATTGGTCAAAGGATAAATATACAGGTTGGCCAAAAAGTCGTGGATCAAACGCAATTTGGGAATAGATGAGGTCATCAGCTGCAAAAAATTGTTCTACGAGAGGTACTTAAGCTCAACCCCTGCAGAGTTATAATTTATTTTGCGTTTTTATAAGAAAATTGACTTTTTTTACTAATTCGTATTAAAATTCGAAAAAATCTACATCCTATATCTTTTTTCATAATATGCACAACAACAATTAATATTATCTTCAATTCACTCAATAAACAACTATAAATAGCATCTCTAACGCAAGGACTCATCAGTACCAATCTAGTGGATATATATTACATATATATAATATGTTATCATGTTCATTGCGAATCCTAATGCGAAGTTGATTACGGCTGATTAATTGAAGATCCCAATTTTATTATCTACCTATATTTTTACAAATACGATTTAAATGTCACAATTTCTAAAGTATATGAATATACTATATATAATTTGATTACGAATGCGTCTGTTATTTATCTTTGTATGCGTACGTATTTACGTTATCAAGTGATTCAATCCTATCACTTAAGAGATTCAATCCCAATCTATGAGGTTAATTCAAGTCTAAGAAACTTTTAATATTTATAACTCGTCCGATTCTATGAAATATGCACTCGAGTTTTGATCATTATAAAAGATACATTTTTGTTAGAATACTTTATTAAATTCTACTTACGTAGCAGTGTAAACTGAGGTAAAGATTGTCGTAATGATTGCGCCAGGCAAAATACTAGGAGGACGTTTTCGAGGCACCATAATTAAATCTAAAATCACCAATACGCCTGAAATAGTATGAAGAGAATGATGTGTCCAATGTGGCAGGTAGGCAAAGATCCCCACAGGCGCTATTAGTGCCCGGTCATTATTCCAAGTTCTCCAGAATAGAGTGTCACAGTACTGAAACAGAGTCTTGAGTGAATTCTTTTCTAATAGCAAACGAGCAGGAGACTCACGTGATCTTAAGTGATACCTCTGCCCATTGACACTCATACCGCCAGAAGGCAGCATTGCCGTTTTTTTTAATTGGTACGCTCTTTTCTCGTAGGATGATATTTTTACTAATTAGTACACAGTACCACCTGCTTAAATGTTGCCCATTTGCTCTTCTCTTAAACGTCATGTGGTATTGTACACATGAAGAGAGTTCCATTCCTTAGTCGTGGAAACAAGAAACAAGTAAACCCTCGGAACATCAACCAGATAAGGATGCAAGCCGTGTGTCTGATCGTGCGGTGGTGAAAGGTTTAATATGTGGACACCCATTCCTAATAGGATCATTCGTTATAATCGCTGTTCAGTAATGCTCAATAATAATAATATAATTCACCGCTTTTGACCTAAAGAATTATACTAACCAAAGTTGTTGGCAGAAGGATACTTGTCATAACGACATCTCTAATTTTCCTCAAAACATGCGCTCTCTTGTCTTCCCACCTCCCATTACTCTCCATCCAGTCACAATAAATGCATATAGGGTAATAAGTTAGGAACACAAACTGAAAATAATATTTAATTAATACACTTAAATTTGTAGTAAAATTGGTCACCCAATAGCTGATTTATGAAAACAAAAATGCCCGGAAACCTTTACATCAACTCCTCTCTTAAGGCCGACATCGCACCCACTAATATGAGTATCCACGGGCTGCGGTCTGCCTATTATGGCTGTTCCGTATTATCATCAAAAAAATATTACTTCAAGTTTTCCGAAATTAGCTCACATCCACTATTAATTACAGGAATATCCTTTATGGGTAAAAAATGTATTTCGAATGTCCTAGTCTGTGTTAAATGTTCAAAATGAGGAGATGCACGATATCACGGTCATCATTAGTTTATATGAAAAGAACATCGAAACTATTGTAACAAACGGTATCAAATGTAATCCAGATTTAATAGCTGATTAAGTCTACCGAACTACAGAAAACACAAGACATATACATACAAGTATGACCGATAATATTTAGTATATTCCAAGGACATATGCCTAGATAAAGTGTATCAATTGCAGATAATATAACTTTAATCCTCATTTATTGTGATAATTGATGCACCTGCAAATTTAAATGGTTTTACGGCGTAAAGTTAAACAAAACGTTAATTTAAAACTACGAGTAAGAAAGCCCATGTTGTTATAAAACGTTTGGCGCTATGATTATATTTTAAACAACTGTTTATTCTGTGGAATATTAATAATCAAAATTATTTTACGATTTCAATTAAAGACTTTCCATTCAGAATTCTCACGTAAAATGAACACTTATTAATATAATTGTGTTTGCATTTTCGATACGGTATCGGCGCGTCTTATATTTTAGTAAGTACATATATATTTAACATACATACATAATATATTTTATTTAACTTCGGTCACACAAAGGCCTTGATTTCGAACATTTATTAAATTGAGTCGCGTACGGTTGTGTAACAAATAAATAGGATACTTAGAACGATGTATTCAAGGATGTAATTATAATTTTTAACTGTCCTCAAACAAAAGATTCTCGCTTCACATACAATTTCCTCTGTTCCAAAAATATTTTGGATTTCATACGCCAGTATTGAAAAAACTAACAAAAACTTTCCATGAATTTCTGATAATGTTTTTGAAAAGTTAGTTAGAGTTTGAGTCTACAAAAAAGTTCTACCTAATTATATGCCGGATGCGTGTTTGTTATTTAACCTGTTTATGGATAAATAAAATAATTATTTTACGGCAATTATACTAGAGTTTTAACGAAAGGGAAAACGATGAAAGTATCCCCATATACCCAGACAAATCGATTCTAGAGAAACAATATTGATTCATGTTACACCGAATATTGATATTCGACACAAAGATTAATTTACATCCCATTTATATTTCCATCCCAAATATATTTAATTCGACAATCTTTATTTGTTTATATTGCGATAAAATATAATATTTATCGTTAATACATCATCACATAATACGAAACCAAACAAACATTAATTGGACTTCGAACGATATTTTAAATAAATAAAAATGTGTTTATTCATCTTAAGTAGATATGCATTACAATGAATTAGATTTGGGAACCCTTTTAAATACTAACTTAAATATAACTTGCACTAGGACGGCAACTTAAAACGTCTCATTTTCGCATGCGACCATTACTTACATTAAACCAAATAGTCAATAATAACCACCGAACAATAGTATACACTCTCACATTGGGATCATTATCGGTTGACATATCCACATTTAAAAGCACTAATGCGACGACCACGAGATGAACGAACGCTCCGCTGTTGAGACATATTCGCACACTCAATAAAACACTATTACTTCTCGCCGTCTCTATCATTACGTGTTGCCTTCGTTGACAATATGTTTGTAATGAATTCATCGGGTCCTAAGATAGAAAACTGACGATCGATAGTGCATATCAATGGGATGTCATCAAGGGCGAAGAGCGCTGGTCGAAGTAGAGGTCAACTCTCTGTAACGGAAAATGACAAAGTAAAATAAAATAAAATAAATAAAATATGTTTATTATGGAACATAAGATACATGTATCACTTATTCCACGTCATTAAATTTGAAGGCATCCCTACTCATCGGCAAAGAAGACAGAGGGTGTAGGCCGAGAGAAAAAGCCGGCGTAAAAAACTCTCGGTACTCTTTTAAAACAGCAAATCATCAAACAACACTTATTTAAAACAAATATCGCAAATTGATTAGAAGTAGCCTGTCTAGCACTAGTCCCAGGCCCTTTTATCAACTAGATAATCGTTGACTTTATAGTAAGCCTTTTTACACAGCTTTTCTTTAATACATTTCTTAAATTTATTGAAAGGCAGTGATAAAAGAGCCTCTGGGATTTTATTAAAGAAGAGTATCCCTTTCCCCAAAAAAGAATTACTAACTTTAGATAGTCTAGTACGGGGAAATTGCAGCCTGCGTTTGTTCCGTGTATTAACATTGTGCGTATGTTCTATTCTAGTAAACTTATCACTATTTTTGTATACATACATAATATTTTCATAAATATATTGCGAGGGAAAGGTAAGTATATTAATTTCCTTGAATTTATCTCTAAGAGATTCCCTACATTTTAAATTATAGATTGCACGAATAGCCCTCTTCTGCAGGATGAAAATAGTTTCGACATCAGCAGCATGACCCCATAATAATAAGCCATAAGTCATTAAGCTATGAAAGTAACTAAAATAAACAAGTCTAGCTGTATCGACATCAGTTAGTGAGCGAATTTTTTTAACCGCGTAGGCTGCAGAACTAAGTCTCTTCGCCAATCCGTTAATATGAGGGGACCACTGAAGTTTTGAATCCATGGTGATTCCGAGAAATACAGTTGTATCATCCAGATTCAATTCCTCACCGTTTATAATTGGTCTAGTATCCATAACCCTTGCATTTTTTGCACAAAATTTAATGCATTTTGTCTTTTTGCATTAAGTAGAAGGTTATTCATACTAAGCCAATGGACAATCGAAGACAGAGCATTGTTCACATCGTCAAAATTTGTTATTTGTCGTTTGATTTTAAAAATCAAGGACGTGTCATCAGCAAACAAAACTATCTGATGTTTTCTCTCTACCATGAAAGGTAGATCATTTATATAAACAAGAAAGAGGAAAGGGCCAAGAATTGAGCCCTGTGGTACCCCCATATCTACTGCCGACCCAGAGGACCTCTTACCATTCACTTCAACCTTCTGAGTTCTTCCGTGTAAATAGGAAGTCAGAAGATTCAGTGCGGTATTCTTGATGCCATAGTGGCGGAGTTTCCCGATTAAGGTCTCGTGTTGGACACAATCAAATGCTTTGGATAAGTCGCAGAAAACACCTAAAGCGTCATGCGACTCCTCCCAAGCCTTAACTATATATCTATATAACTCAACACCGGCATCGGCTGTCGAGCGACCCTTGGTAAAACCGAACTGATTATTATGTAATAATTTGTTTACGTTAAAATGACTTACCAGTTGATTTAATATAATTTTTTCAAATATTTTACTACAAGTAGGTAGTACGGAAATTGGTCTAAAGTTACTGGGGTCAGACATACTACCTGCTTTAAATAAAGGAATAACTTTACTATGTTTCATTAGATCGGGAAACTCGCCACTTTTAATACAATTGTTGAAAATTATAGCTAGATGGGGAGCAATTACATCAATTATGCTACTAATTATTTTTACAGAAATACCCCAAAGATCGGTAGTGTTCTTAATATCTATGGTTCTAAATATCCTCACTATATCGTCGGCACCAATGGGTCGGAATGAAAAACTGACCTTGCACTCGTTTACATTATCTTTGAGCAGCGATTCGGCGAGGGCGGGAGATGATTGAAGAGATTTCATGAGGTGGTATTAAAGTGATCTGTGAAGTGGCTGGGTGTTAGAAATGAATACTCATCAGAGATCCACAAGATCGTATCATATCGCTTTTAGTCTAATCGCAAAACATATCGCGCTTGATCGCTTTAAGGACAGTGACTTTATGATTAAAATAGCAGCGCCAATTAGGGAATCATAGAACAACATTTTTAGTAGACTAAGCAAGTTTCAAGGAAAATTAGTTCAAAGCCGGAGTGCCGGTAAAAATGCTTAATGTTGATTTAGTTAGAAAATTTATCGTTTCACTAAACACCGTTTTGAATGCATGTTATGGTGGACAAATATTAAAACATTAGAATAAAATGAATACTTCAATATTAGTTTTACAATTAAACTATATATTTATTATTTCATTTTCTATTCTTTTTGGAATTTACCTATAATAACAAAGGCAAATTATCAGTATTACTAAAGACTATTACTTTAATTCAATTGTGATTACAAAATATTGATCACGTTTTTATTACCTTCTTTAATCATGCATGCAATTTTGAATTTAATTACTGCATGCAACTTATATGGTTCATCGCGCTATCTCATAATGGATAAACGTTCCGTTTGTACATGTACACATGGATAATTTAAAAAATAGTAATATTCCTATACATAGTCTTATAAATATATCGCAATTCTATCTCGAAACAGATACATAGGTACATCTAAGGAATCTGAGATCTTATTGAATATAGACAAAGAACTAAAAGTTAAATAGTAATAGTAAAATATTATTATATTATTTACTTAATATTAGCGCGAATAATCCTGCGATTAAAAAAATATAATAGCTATTAATGGCAAATTTGCATATTTTAACAAACCTATTAGCCGTAATACCACGTCCATTTTCACAGACAATGCTCTAAATGGTGTAGTTAATTAAACTTAGCAATCTGACAATTTATACTTTAGCGGTTGTACGGGTAATTTTATACCATGTTAAACTTTTAAATGTTGATGATGATATTATTTTATCCCTAATGGGAAAGGCAAAGGACTTTGGTCCATACAGCCAGGTCTTGTTAAATTTTAAATGTTGAAATAAGAATGACATAAATTACGCTATCTCTGGTGCCCTTTGACGTTTTTGGCGCAAAAAAAAGGAATTCAACATTCTGCTAGATATTCATTCATGTCTAATTGAAATTGTGACATTTACTAAAAATATACTTGGAAAAGACAATATGATCGTAAGATGATTGTTTAGTCTGTCCTCAAAGGAAAAATAATAATAAGTGCCTGAAATATGATGCTTTAAAAAGTTAAGTATTTATAAATATTACAATTATTATGTTATAATAAGGCTTAATAAGTATCTATTATATGGAGCATTTTGTTAAATTATGATTGGGACAACATAGAATAGCATATTGTATAATTTTCAAGTAACATATTAGACTATTGATTATTCTATTTATGCAATACATTAGTAAAATACACTGATTGCGATAGACGGTTATGGTAATTAGAATAATTAATAATTATAATTTAATGTAGTGAAACCATTCGTTAAACAGTCACTATTACGTTAACATGGATAGGATAACGTTTCGCGTAAATGGTGAAGCTTGTTCAGGTAAATTTAATGTAATTTTATAGTCTAAAAGTAGTTATAATTAGTAGTAATATATGGTTATCAGCCATGAAATATAAAGTCCATTTAGTTTTAAACGATTGAGGAAGATGTCAGTCGTTAGAGAAGAGGTCAGTGAGACACCTGTTTTAGGGTAAGATTCAGAGTCAAGAATTACACGCTAAGTATGACTTTTGATTTTTATTTCTAATGTCAAACACTCGATAGATTTGACATAAAAAAAAAATAATCAGTGGTGCTACAACCTTTTTAGGTCTGGGCCTCAGATTTCTGAATCTGATTCATGATCATTTTTCAATGGGAAGTAGGTGATCAGCCTACTGTGGCTGACACACGCCGTCGACTTTTTGGGTCTAATACATGTCGGTTTCCTCACGATGTTTTCCTTCACCGTTCGAGCGAATGTTAAATGCGCACATAGAAAGAAAGTCCATTGGTGCGCAGCCGGGGATCGAATCTACGACCTCAGGGATGAGAGTCGCAAGCTAAAGCCACTAGGCCAACACTGGTCTGCACTGATTTGACATATAGTCGTCCTTTAAGTCTTCTGAATCTTGCTCTTAAGATACAGATTGTATCTATGGTTAAAATATTTAAATGTATACAACACAGCTTAAATAGTCGTTAGCTCTTAATGAACTGAGTGTTTATATTCTACAATGTATATGCACTTCAGTCTATTGCGTTGTAAACTTGCTTTGTCTTTGAGTTACAGAGTAAAGCATTAAGCAGGTAAAAATTTTATATGTATTTATAATGAATTACAATAGAATTTGAACATAAAAATAATAATAAAACAATGATAAAAGCTATAGTAAATTTAAAATGTTTGATCAATTTGAAATAGACTCTAGACGTCTGAATTGAATAATTAATTAATCCTGCCGGCATCTCCGCTGTACTTTAGCAAGATTTTTGCAAGCTCATTAGATATTTCAAATGCCCCATCCTATTTAAATCATCGTTTTATTTACGAAATGTAAAAGAAAATTTATGTCTTTCAATATTCGTACTCGCATATAGACGAGAGTTTAATGCTCTATCCTATTTATTTAACACTTGGCCGAACATAGGGGAGTGCTTATCCAGATGTTAACAACGGTAGTGAATGTTGAGTGTGACAGAGAAAGATAGAGTAGAATAAATGCCGTGGAAGTGAGAGCGTTAAGAAGTATGCGTGGGGAAACATTGCGTGTATAACTAGTAGTGAGATACGTCAGCAGTACCTGGACCAAATCCAGAAGGTACTAGAGAATTGGGAAGTTAAAAGTACCCATAAACAACACGCATGCATGGTGAATATCATGAAGCGAGACAGATATGTCAGGACCGTGGCAAGTAGAGACCTGTGTTCTCTGCCTACTCTTTCGGGAAAAAGGCGTGATGATATAGATAAAATTAGTAAATAACTTTAACACTTCGTAGCAAAATTAAATAATAAGGAGGGTAAGAAGCGGCCTTATCTCTTTAGAGCGATCTCTTATAGGCAACCGCTGTAAGTTAAAATATAGTAGTGCAATTCTACATAAGATATACAATAGATTAGACATAAAAATTAAAACAAAAAACAACAATTAAAACATGAAGACAATCAAAAAACTCTCATGAATCATTATAATTTCTAAATTATGTTTGGGATACGATGTGGACTGGTAATGTTTGTACAGTAGAGATTAAAAGGAAGATAGAGAAGGAGATAAGCAGATAGGGACAGGAAGTGAATTCCATAGCCTCAAGACCGAGTGCATAAAGGACAAAAATTTAATTATTTGGCTAATTTACGAAAAGAAACTGAAACTAGGTCAACATACAAAGAAGCTATTAATAACAAAAATACTTAAATTTTGAAACTTATTGATTTATTAAATTTATATGTGGATATTTAGTTTAGTTCAGTTATTTTTAATTTATTGTAAATAATATATTTATTATTTATATTTCGTTAACTTTATAATATAGAAATAATATAAATGATTGAATTGGTCTATTTATTCGATTTAAATCTATTTCAGCGGGATCTGAAGTGGATTCAGATGAAAGTCTGAATGATTTTTTACGAATCAGGCTGAATCTTCGCGGTACTAAATATATGTGCAAGGAGGGTGGTTGTGGCGCCTGCATTGTGGCTGTCACCGCTCCTGACCATGATGGCCACAAACGGACATTTGCGGTTAATTCGGTAAGGTTAAATAACATTTCGTCTCAGATTATGACAAAAATGTTCACAATTTTGTACGACGCTTTGACGAATATTCGTGAACAGAAATAACACACTAAAGTCGCTATTGTGTAATTTTGAGAAGCTATTTGGTAAAAAAAAATTCTTCTCTATGGTCGAGTTACTCGTGCAATTAGTCCTATTATTAACTTTTATAATTTAAAGCGAACACACAAAGCGAACGTTTTTGAAGATTTTAACTACGGCAATAATTAGGTATTAAATTTTCTGTAATCATTTCATTTCAAAAGCATCTTATTTACGTAGATATTATTAAGTGTTTTTGTCGTACTAAATTTCATAAATGAAATAAAGATTGATTTTGATTTTGTCACCCAAAATACCTTTTAAAAACTATTTACAGTGTCTAACGAGTATACTGTCTTGTCAAGATTGGGAAATAACGACCATCGAAGGTTTAGGTGACAGACAGGGCTATCATCCCATTCAACGCACCTTAGCAGAGCATAATGGCAGCCAATGCGGATATTGCACGCCCGGATGGGTAATGAATATGTATAGGTAATTTATGACAATCCAAATATTGGAAATAATAATAAGATTTTATGCGATTACATTCGATTTATGATTTGTTATTGGGTTGATTTTTACAGTTTACTTGAAGCAAACAATTACAATATAACTCAGTATGAAATCGAGAATTCGTTTGGTAGTAACAATTGCAGATGCACTGGGTACAGACCAATTTTAGATGCGTTTAAAACATTCGCCAAAGACGCACCAAAACCCAACCTAAGTGACATCGAGGAGCTAACTGTATGCAGGGACAAAGAAAAATGTGAAAAACCATGTAGAGATTGGTGTTTTGTTTCAAACAAGGATAGGAAAAGCAAAATAATACATTTAAAGGATGATAAAATATGGTATAGAGTTTACGAGATAAGTGAAATTTTTGATGTATTTCGAAAGGAAGGAGTCGATTCATATATGCTTGTGAATGGGAACACTGGCAGAGGTAAATTTAGTATTGTCTTTGATTAACATAACCTTTACACATTTAAAGAAAAACGCTTTTTACCGGATTAAGTTATGTTTATTATTATAAATTACCGTTATTATTATAATTAGTCACCGTGACCACGCACGCTGTAAAGCACGCGAAACGTCGGATAAATTTAAAATTATGTCAAATAGTTGTAAATTTATAATAATAATTATAAATTTAATCCGGTAAAAAGCGTTTTTCTTTAGAGGTAAATTTGTTAATTTAATTTTACAAAAATAATAAACCAACAATAAAAGATATTTTATAATACATACGTTACGTTAATAAAACATCAGCGCGTGCATAAGAATGTTATATGAATATTTAAAACAATAAAAGACATTAAAAATAGGAAAAAGAGAATTTATTTGACGGTGATTTACTCGCTTATTTCTTTAACAATATATGAAGATGATATCACCCACAAGATGAAGTATGTGAAGAGAGCAAATGTTGCTATTATTTATTAATTCATAAATAAATATTTCATATTTTCAAGGTGCTATTTACATATTTGAGTTTCCACGCGTACTTATTGATATAAGTGCAGTTGAAGAGCTTAGAACTCACTACTTGGATCAGAATTTAGTCATCGGGGCTGGCACCGCGCTTACTGATTTGATGGAGATATTTAAAAAAATGGCTGAAACTTATGAGAATTTTTCATATTTGCAAAAACTCTATGACCATTTGGATTTAGTAGCGCATATACCAGTGAGAAATGTAAGTATAATTTAATTTTTTTTTAATGTAATATTATTATTAATATATAATAGTAATATCTCTATGGAGCAAAAACCGCTGTTTTCCAAAAAAGGAATTAAACCCTATTAAAAGTAGTATATAGCTATTTATGTATATATACTTATACTAGTTACCAATAATATATTGCGTTGAATGCAGATAAAAAACATTACTAGATTTGGAAGACGTTACGTATTATCAAGACGTTTGAGTTTCTTATACTAACTTTAATACACGATAACTGATACAAAATCCAGATTTGCATGAAATTTCGGTAACAAATAGTTTATTTTTGTTAAGCATTTTTAATTGCCTGTTGAAGGAAGCCAAAGGTAATATGATTTGTCAGTACTTATAGCGCCGTAATTATTTAATTATTTTGATGTTTTTTTATTTCTAAATATTTTTAAGCTTTGTTTATTATTGACTGTTTGTCATCGTAGAATAAAATACATGTTCTATCGCGTAAAAAGACGAGTTTTTCAATAAATTATATTTAATATTATTGTCATAGGTGGGTTCGATCGCTGGAAACCTGATGCTTAAGAAAAGAGATGCGACTTTTGCATCGGATGTTTTTTTATTATTTGAAGCTGTTGGAGCTATTATGACAATAGGTATTTATCTTATATTATTAAGCCACGATACTGTGAAATATATTATTTTATTATATATAAATTGGTACACTCTTTCGCACAATATCTGAAATAAATTATGTAGAATATTTCTTATATTAAAAAAAATCAATGGCGCTACAACCTTTTTAGATCTGGGCCTCAGATTTCTGTATCTGTTTCATGATCATTTGTTAATCTAATAGGCAAGTACCTATTGTATATATAATCCTGTGCCTGACGCACGCCGTCAACTTTTTGGGTCTAAAGCAAGCCGGTTTCCTCACGATGTTTTCCTTCACCGTTCGAGCGAATGTTAAATGCGCTGAAAATTGTCGGCGACAATCATGCGACAATATTTTGCCGGTGGTGATAAAATTGTGCTCACGCGCATGGGGCCTACGCCAATTTAATGGATACTGCACCTTGTATCTATTGTCTATCACTGGATCCGTCGTGTCTTCATTTCAGTGCCCGATAACTTCATAGCACCGTTTGAGACGATATAATGACCGGACCTTAAATGCGATGATTTTTTTTTCAGTTAGCGCAGATAGTATTCTGGACGTAACCCCTCAAGAGTTCTTATCCATTGACATGAAAGGGAAAATTATTACGCAAATAAAGATTCCGCCACTCGCCAAACATTATAAATTTATTTCGTTCAAAGTAAGTATTGCACTATCTTTCTTGTTTAAGACCTTTCTACTTTTTTAATTTGTTGTGATTTTATTGTAAGTTTGCATTTAGTTCCAAAACTACAGGACCGATTTGAAAAATTCTTTCACCAAAGAATCCTACATGATCTCTGATGAACATAGGCTATAGAATATATTTAAAAACGTTAGGGATCCGAATGAAATTTGCCGGTCCAAAAAAATGCAAGAGAAAATTTAACTATAATTTAAGTTAAACAATTGCTATAGTATTATATTTGCAAGCCCGGACTCAGTCCGTTGACAACACTTTGTATAAGAAAGTAAATATATTCCACATACTTCTTATCATCGCCATAGGTGCTTAACGTTAGTCCCAAAACCTATTAACAGAAAAGTTACACAGAAATATGTTTGCCCAATGTTTGCCCAATGACTTATACTCCATTTTATATTGATAACTAAATCGACTATTACTTATACATAGGTATAGTGGAATTACCTAGTCCAGCCATAAGCTCTGTTACAAATGAAAATGCTTTTTTTAAATGAAGTAATGTAATATTATTAAAATTTATACCTAAATATTATAAAGACTCAGCAATAAATAAAAAATATTCTATTCGAAATGGCCACCTTTGGCTTTTATACAGGCCTTTAATCTGTTTGGCCACGAATCTATGGATTTACGCACTGTTTCCAAGGGAAATTTCGCCACTGCAAAGATTTTTTAAGAGACTCAATGTCGCCGTGTCGTTTAGGACAGGCCATGTCCTCTGAAACTGACCATAATTTGAAGTCTAAAGGGTTGAGGTCTGGGCTAGATGAGGGCCAGTCTTCAGCTCTAATAAAGTCCGGAACATTGGTTTCAAGCCAGGCTTGGGTAGTTCGTGCCTTATGACCAGGTGCAGAATCCTGCTGGAAAGGGTTTGACGAATTCTGGCTTTAACAGCATTAACAGCCTTAGTACTTCTAACAGCACGCGGCCGCCCGACCTTTTCTGGTCTTCGACAGACGTAACTGTTGTATCTGTTGATAGTACGATATACGAACATACGGCTGATACCAAGCTTTTAAAGTGTCTGGAATATGACCGAGGGCTCCATAGTTCATACCCACTTTGTGCAAGGCGATCACTGCAATCCTATTTTCTTTAACATCCCATTCCATATTGAAATTTGATAATGAACACGAAAAAGTATGCGAAATGGCGGGAAATCAAAAGAAGTTTTTAAAATAATATACGTGTTCCAAATTCAAAATAATTAAAAAGTTGAAAAAAAGAAAAGTTTTTATGTAACAGTATTTATGGGCGGACTATTTATATACAATTTCATTAATAATTGGATCACCATACAAAACAAATGTTTCGTTAATTCCCTCCAAGGTTATACCAAGATCACAAAACGCCATAGCCCAAGTACACGCAGCATTTTTGTATGAGTTAGACCCAGTACAGGAGCAAACGGTCATATCAGCCCGACTCGTTTTTGGCGGTCTATCAGGACCCTTCACTCATGCATACAGTACTGAAAATTATCTGAAGGGACAAAAGTTATTCGAAAATCACGTGTTACAATCAGCTTTATCCATTCTTAACGATGAAATTGTGGTTGAGGAAATAAAGGGAATGCAAAAACCGGAATTTCGTAAGAAAGCAGCATTAGGACTATTTTATAAGGTATCGTAAATAAATGAAACTAGATCTTGAGTTTTTTATTCTAATTTAATTGTAATTGAATTTAAAACAAAGTTATATTTAACAGTAATGTTTATTAATAGATTTTATGATACTATTATGTATATTTTAGGCTTGATTCGTTGCTTTCCTAATCCATTTAAATTAATCCTTACAGGGCTTATTGGCAATAATTCCACCAGAATTATTAAACCCAAGATATCTATCAGGGGCAATAGACCTCCGTAAAAATAGGCCTCTTTCTAAAGGTAAAGAGGTGTATGACACTAACCCAATATTGTGGCCTTTAAATGAGCCTATGCCTAAGGTCGAAGCTCTAATACAGTGTTCTGGAGAAGCAATCTATGTAAATGATGTTGAAACAATGCAGAAAGAAGTATATTGTGCGTTTGTAACCGCCAAAATCTTTAGCGGAGATATCGAGCATATAGATCCTGCGCCTGCTCTTGTAAGATATATTGTATCTTTGTTTTTAAGCAATTCTAACTTTAAACATATTAAAGCCTTACTAACTACGTTAATTTATCATAATAAATTATCTCTCCCTAGCTGTACTCCACAGTTTTACCCACGTTAATTTTTTTTGTGTAATTGGGAAATTTTGTATTGGGGAGCCCAATTATCAAGGGAGGTTCCAAAGCCTTTGTTCATTACCTACCTATAATTATTTGCAGAAAATTCCCGGTGTCGTTGCTTTCTATACAGCAAAAGATATACCCGGAAAGAACATCTTTGTGAGTGGAACTATAACGGGCTATATACCAGAAAAAATATTATCTGATGGTAAAATTGATTTCTTTGACCAACCCATTGGTATATTAGTTGCAGAAACAGAAACGATAGCAAAAAGAGCAGCAACGCTCGTAAATGTTACATACAGGAAAGAAAACAGAAAACCATTATTAGATATACGCGATGTTTTAGTTAAGGATCCGAGCCGGATTACACTTGTAGAAAATATTCCGCCGCTGAAAAAGCCTGGTACTGAAATCGAATGCATCATAAAACAAACAGAGAACATATTTTGGCAATACCACTACACAATGGAAACACAGAGCTGTGTGACGAAGCCAAGTGATGATTCCTTTGATGTATTAGCTGCTTCTCAATTCCCTGATATGACACATTTGGTCGTTTCGGCGGCTTTAGGCATCGAACAAAGTAGGTAAGTTAACGTTTAGAGGAGCTAGTCGGAGAATCATCATAACACTTATGACTTTCGCCTTCTTGACTACACTTATCTAAATGGTCCGGTCCTATAACCCTTTAATTAATTTTGCTTAGACTTCAACCACTTTAAAAAACTTGTCAAACAAATAGCTGATTTTCTAGAGTCAACGTGACAATACCGAGATGTGGCGGTGCATATGGATGTAAAATAACAAGAGTTGGACTTGTGGCAACTGCTAGTTCAATCGTTTCCTATCTTTTGAACCGACCATGTAGGTTTATTATGGATATTCAAGAAAATATACGAATCGTCGGAAAAAGATTACCCGCCCATTTGCAGTATGAGGTAATAAAATATATGGATACGTGCCTACTGATACTACTATACTTAATTATCTCTGACAATACCTACGTGCTGGGTCTGGGTGGCACTTTAAACATAATTTGTACTCAAAATAATCAGTACAGTTTGTCTAGAATCGATTATCCAAAATGAAACAATTATCGTGTATTATTTTCTCAAAATTGCTTATGTTCAATTTTTGTTTCTTTAGGTAGGCGTAAACAGATATGGTGTAATTCAGTACTTAAACTATGACATGTACTCAGATACAGGATATGGGCAATTTGAACTTGTTTCATCCCTAATACCACCCGCTATTCGGAGCTGCTACAATCACCTCACATGGGATTTTAGTGTATATAGAGTTACAACTGATACACATAGCAACACTTATGCAAGAAGTCCAGGTAAGTTATTAATTAAAAAGTTGGTAAAAGATGCCTTTATTTACATTACATTCTACAAATTTATCTTATTTTAGGAAGTCTTGAAGGTATATGTATGACAGAGCATGTGTTAGAAAGAATATCCTACGAATTAGATATTGATCCGCTAGAAGTACGCCTCAATAACCTCAATCCGGAATTCATAGATGTTAAAGACATTCTGGAAACTTTATTAAAAAACAGTGAATACACAGAACGAAAGAAAGAAGTTGAGAAATTCAATTCTGAAAACAGATGGAAAAAAAGAGGTCTCCGAGCCGCAATCATGAGTTGGCCTGCTCCAGATCAAGTAGATTATCACATCTACATATCAATTTACCATGGAGATGGCAGTGTTATAGTAAAGCATGGTGGTGTAGAAATCGGCCAAGGCATTAATACAAAAGTAATACAAACCATTGCTTTTGTGTTTAAAATTTCTATGGACAAAATAAAAACAAAAGCAGTTGATGTTGCATCAGCCCCGAATACCTATTGTGCTGCTGGCAGTCGAACAACTCAATCTATTTGCTTCGGAGCTATAAAATGTTGCCAGATAATTTTGGACCGCCTGGCTCCAATTAAAACTTCCTTGCAAAATCCTACCTGGGAAGAATTAATACAGTCTGCCTATTCACAAGGAGTTAATCTACAGGCAAATTATCATGTTACTACTGCAGATCAGGATCCAATTAGATCAGCTGGGGTTAGTCTCACCGAAGTTGAATTAGATATTATAACAGGAGAATCATTGGTTCTTCGTGTTGATTTAGTGGAAGATATAGGGACTAGTATTAATCCGGAGATTGATGTTGGGCAGGTAAATATAACATATGCATATTCAAATAGGCTTATAAACTATACTATACTACACTTTGTCAATAATTACGTTATGGCACTACTGGCTACAAAGCTTTGATGGATCCTCTTAAAACATTACAGTACCGAAAGCTTTGACACTTACAATATTCTAGATTGAAGGTGCTTTCATAATGGGTCTTGGCTATTGGACATCAGAGCACATTATCTATGATAAGGAAACGGGGCAAATACTAACAGATCGTACGTGGACGTACCACATACCACAAGCGAAAGATATTCCTATTGACTTTAGAATACAGCTTCGAAGGAATCATAATCCTGTTGCAACACTGGGAGCGCGAGGTAAACCTTAGACTTTTTGTTAATAATCTTCGTTTTAAGAATCTTTCATCAGCAACTATCATTAACAGTAAATCGTGACTAGAAAGTTTATTATAATACTGGTACTTGCTACGGCTATTAGAGGAATTGTTTTGTTATTGTTTTAATTCACCAAAATCGCTTCTTTATTGCTCTCTGTTTTATTAAACTTTTTATTGCATCGATGCATGATGCGCTACTTAAGTTTTCTATAGAAGAATTACATTACATTTCTAGTACGACAGCTGTTTCATTTTTCGATACGATATTAGATTTTCATATAGTGAATAGTAAAATTCATAAAATTTACCGCTAAATATTTTTTTTCTATTTTATTCCGGTTTAACAGCGGTTGCAGAACCAGCGACGTGTTTAGCAGTTTCGGTAGCTTTTGCTTTAAAAGCGGCACTAGCCAATTCTAGAGAAGAATCCGGCTACCCAAAGAATCAATGGTTTTCAGTTGGTAAGTCTAGAAACTTGTTAGATGATGATCCACTTTCATTAATCAACATAAATATACAATAATACCGAAGCGAATACAACATTATCGAAGCGAGACTCATTCATTTTATCAAATGGAAAAAAAATCGTTTTCAATAGTATCCGAAATAAATTTCAAAGAATAAAAAAAACAATCATTGGAATAATACAAAATAATTGATAATAGTATCAACGGATGAAGTGGTCGTCCGTTGATAAAATTTACAATGTTTTTAAACAAATTCTTCATTTCAGATGGACCTTACACGTTAGAAGCAAATGTTCTAAGCGCCGATGCAAATTTAGAGGAGTTTCTATTTAGATAGATTTCTTGCATGATTATTGAAATGGAAAATGCAATTACTCCTGTTGCCTAACACTGAAAAAAAGTTATTACTAAATTTATAAACTTTCTTATTTATTAAAAACTAAAGGGTAGGGTAAAACTAAGTAAAGGGTTTACAGAAAAGAGCGTTACCACTCAAAAAAGCCAGATACGCACTTGTGAGAAATTTTGCTATGTCATTGTCCACGGGCGGGCGTTAACAATAGAAACATGCCATAAACATAATGTCATTTCTCCCCTGTTCCTTCAAAAAATTAACTAAATAGTTAAGCGCTTTTTTATCTTATTAACTGATCTGCCTTTAATATCTTAAACACATGTAAACACAGCTTCAATCGATTTAGTTTTAAGAATATATCAACATATTTACTTATTTACAACAGAACTGTAATTTTTTTTATCGTAAATTATTAAACTGGTTTCTTAAGTTCGTTATGTTTTACAATTTTCTTTGATGTAGATATCATTATTTATTCCAATTACAAAATCAATTTGTTCTACAATTATTCGATTAGATTGTAGGAATTTTGTAAATTAAATAGATTTAAAGTATGTGAATAATTTTATTCGCCTTTAACAATTGTATGGCAAACTTTGCGTTAGTAGACACTAATTAAATTAAAATACATATTGTAATATTTCTATTTAGTAAATATGATTTATTGTTATCTAATAAATATTTAAACCGTTTTATTTAAATTTTATAACGCATAAAATGTTATAAATCCAAACTTCAAACAGGAGCATAAGCCCTTTTTGAAAATAAAAATATTGATGTATGAGTAAAACGCGACCAACATTTTATGCAGATTGCTAAATTAGACATGGAATACAGCATGTACTTTATAAAAAGTATTATGTGCAAGTATAGTAATTTTTAATATTAGCCATTAAAAATGTCCTTAAAATGTACAGAAGTCAGCTGGATAAAATTAATTGTTATAATTGTTTTAATATAACAATTAATTAATTCTTTATAATCCTAAGCTACATAATAAAAATAAATAATAATCATAAATGTCTTAATAGAAAACAAATATAAGTTCAAAATTTGTGCTTGTTACTTGCGATATTTATTCGTTCAACGAGACAAGCACCAGCTCTGGTTTCACCGGTATTATCTACGACAAATTAAATCTTTAATTAGCGTGTGCACTTGACCTCCATGGCCCAATAGCATCTACTCTTCAAAAGAACAAAATCTTTTTGCTGTTTTCAAACGATTTATACGTATATCATTAAAAATTATTAATTATAAGTTTATATAGAAGCTACCCTGTCTGGTACCTTTGTTTTTTGTGCAATTAAATTATTTATCAAGCTTGACAACAAATATAAGTATAATAATTATCTTTGGTATTTGCGATACTATTAAAAAAAATTCTTTAACGCTTTATATACTTATTTATTTACAATACACGCCACACAAGCCAAAAGATTTACACCTTAATAAGTTATAAGACACAGCTTGCACTTAACAAGCCACGTTAAGTCCCTCCGCGGACCCCGGTAGGAAATTTCGAATCGCTGCAGCCGAACCTTGAATGAGCAAGTCACTGACTTACTTCATCAGCCTCGGCCAGGGTGCGTCTGTATGAACTGGGTTGAACTTGGACGGTGAAGGCCACCACGGAAACCACGAAAACTCTTTTGTGCTCTCGACATACTCGAGAAAATACTCTACTCTCCTTAAACATAATTTAGGTTTTTACTCCAAACGAAAGTTATGTAACCTAATATTAGTTATGTTAATTATGTATATTTTAATTAATAATTAAAAGCGTAAACGAAATGTAAACAATCATCGCACGCTTAGCGCCAATATGAGCCCTTTAGTTTTTACCACACTTATAAATTGTAATTGAACTTTCTCGTTTCCGATAATATCCAATAACATAAGTGTCACTTAGATTTACGAACTCTTTAATAAGTCAAGTTAGTTTTTTGTTAATCCAGCCTCGCAATCCCACTACCCTTGATGTTATTTTAGTTATAAGCTCAAGATTTCGATACCCAGCTTGAAACAAAGTGTTTCATTTAACATATATCTGAACATATCCATACAACAACCGCCACCGAACTTAACTCGAGTTTATATCTAAAACATACTTATAGTAACATACTACATGTATAAACCAATAATTAAGTTCGAATAACTATAAATGGAAAGTAAGTGGTACAAACATGAACTATTAAATCCTAATTAAAAGATATTGCAACTGAATCACAGTCTCCGATCATGCAACGAACCACAATTTGTATTCGTGCCTCTTTGCGTCAATCGGTCTCCGCAATTCAAAACAATATTTATCAATCAATAATTACTGTTAATAGGTCATTAGAATTAAATTAGATTGACATTCCACATTGAACGTGCGAGAATTCTCTGTATAATGATAATAAATCACATATTGAAAAGTCTTTGCTATGTATTTTTTTTTAAAAAGCAAGTACTTTAGTAACTTGGTTCGTTAAGTTATTGTATTCAAACAAAAGAAAATATGCATTCGTTTCTTTCTTCTCATGAGGCCACTTCGTTCGTAGATTTCAAGTGAGATTCTATCAAAGCCCCTCCTTATCAGTCGTAATACCTACCCTAGCTAATCATAGCTACTTTCACAGCGTTTTGTCGTACGGTATTCTAGTGTGGGGTGCTGCTGCAGAGGTTCAATCCATATTTGTGCACAAGCGGTCTGTTCGGGGTATTTGTTGTGTTTTCCCAAGGAAGTCGGTACGGAATAAGTTTAAGGAATTAAATATTATTACACTATCTGGTCATTATATTTTTGAAGCTTTGTTCTATGTACAAAAAAATATAAACGATTTTAAAACAAATGGTGACTTTCACCAGTATAATACTCGAAACAGAACTAATTTAAGTGTACGACAAACCAGGCTCCAGAAGATAACTCCTTATATGGAAATTGTATTCGTTTTTACCACAAACTCCCAAGCGAAGTTAGAGAATTATCACTAAATAAATTCAAAGCTCTCGTTAAACGTAAATTAATAATTTTTAAAAAAATTTACGAATATTTAAATGATCCTAATCCTTGGGATTGATTTGCTCCAGTTCAAACAATTTGTATGACTCAAAACTTAGCTATTAAAAAGAGTGACGGAAAGTTTCTAGCCCGCTTTTGAGTTTGTATTTAGTCCCTAACATAATGTATTTATAATTTTCTACACACTTTTACCCAAAACTGGAATTGGAATCAACCTACGAAACCCCATTAATAGTTAAATCAACTTTTTTGTTTTTCCTAATTATATAGGTACCTATAGGCAGATTAATATTAAAGGCCCGTTAAAGGTAACTTTATTCTTTATTTATTTTGTCTTTTGTTTTCTATCGATATAATATTTGAATACAAATGAAATCAAATAGTGATATTGGAAACTGTAAACAGATTAATAAATAATATTAAAATATAATAATTACTTACGCAAGTGGACGATAGCCTCTCCGAGGTTAGGTACCTCGTGAAGGCAAAGCTGATGTTATCATGTCTGCCTATATTTCTGTCTTTTTGGAGTTGTTTTATATGTGTTTATTCACATCACTATATTGTAAGCTCATTCGATTTAAAATAAAAGTATGGTAATTTTTCATAACTTTACTGATTTGTCATAAGTTTTATTTTTAAATTTTCCTCGTATCTGTCCCGCAATAATGGTACGCAGATAGATAACGTCGTGATTTCTTAGTTTTATTAATCAGCTACATTTTCAATACATATCCAGGGTATACAAATCACTCAACTAGTAAAATATTTAATTAACATTCTTAGCAGCGAAATGTATCTTTTATTTTATTGCTATAGTTTCTAAGCCAGCAATAATTTGTACGTAGGTACCTACTATTAAAGCTACTTACTTGTAAATAAAACTGAAATGACTTACGCATCTGGAACTCTTCACAATTTAATTGCCGGGAACTGTAGTAACGAAATATGTACATAATACCGGATTAATATCTACATACCCTCTCCTTGACCAGGCACGCGTTTCTCCAATTTTCGATAGTTTATCAGCCACACATTATTATCATGAATGACGAACGTGATATGACCACCTAAAGTAACGAAAAAAAATAATAACAGCAATTAATAACGTAAGTAGTTCGTCATGAAATTAAACTTGTTGTTACAACTATTATTACTGAAGAAAAAGTAATAAATATTTCTTATCTTGGACGGCGCTTATACTTGTTAAAATCTGACTCGACCATAACGGCTCGACCGATTCTAATAAATTTTTTTATGCATATTCAGTAAGTCTGAGAATCGGCTACTATCTATCTTTCAAACCCTTAAGTGATATGGTATGTCCACCCCAAAACCAAAATTTAAGTTTTAGACAATTTTTTGTTTTTATTTTTTTATGATACAACATACAGAAATACATACAATCCTTAATTTTTACCCCTCTACGATCAACCCCTATTTTTATCATAGTAGATAGTTATTTTTATTGAACTAAAAAAATGTTTCCTAGAAATAATATTGTACATGGCAAAACGACGTTTGCCGAGTCAGCTAGTTATAATATATATGTTTAAAACAAGCTTAAATATCTTTAATTTATCATTAATTTAATTTTTATAAAAAATTAAAGGATTTTTTTATTTTAATTCTTACTACCTGCCTGCGCGAAATTCGTTTCGCCCTAATATGTTTTTTTTTTACTTTAGGTTAAGTAAAAAATCATGTTAAGGCAATTAATATGATTTGTAGCAATGTTAGGTATGTCATAGGGACTGATGCAACACAATCTTGTCTAGTGAAGGGTTTTGGCGGTTTCTTGAAATCATTAACGTTTAATTTGAATTTTTAAGCCAATTCTGTTAGAATTAGAAATAACTGTTTGCATTTGTTCTATAGTCATTAAACTGATGGTTTTTAAAATCTTTTCAAGTAGCCTATTGACACTTGCTCGTTTGTAAGAGACAGTAGTCTGAACACCCACTTGACTATAAAAAAATAAATGATTAGCCCCAGCAACTTTATAACCTATTTGCTTTCAAAAACCAGCACAAAAAATCTCAAGAGAATACCCACACACACAGGTCAACACTTCCTAAAGGCGCTGGCAGCAATTTTTCATCCATTTTCCTTAAACAATAAATTATAATAATTGAAGAAGATAAGCGATATAGTTGAACTTGTCTGCTCTAAATCTGACACAATTCCGTAAAATTCGTATCGGTTGTTAAGGAAAATTCGAATGCTTCCAATTACATAAATAAAAATAAACAATGCTTACAGCATCGAGTTACTTTTTCGCGCTTTCTCAAGTTTTCTTGGTCTTCGTCATAGTGGCGCCGCACAACTTCCTCTACTCTCCCCTGTCTTCGGCAAACCTCTGGGCCTGGGTGCTGGTAAGACCTGTAAGAGTCTTTGCTTGATCGGTCCAGCGTGTAGAGGATCGCCCTTGATGTCTGGTGCCCTCCACTCTGCCAGTCACGACGAGTTTTTCAAAACTTTCTGGATCTCTGCGTGTTACAATATGTCCAAAAAAACTCGGGATGCCTTGGTAACAAAGTATTGAAGGACGATTTTTTACTTGTAACCGTCTTAGTATAGACAGTTTGTTTCCTTCTTTTCTTTCTTTTGATTTGATTCATATAATTGCTATTGGGAAATAAATAACGCAACAATATTGCTTGCGTACATACCTACCTTTAGTATATTTTTCTGTTCTTATCAACATCCTACCATAGACAATGGTTTACGGACAATGTATGGAACTGTCATTATGTCACGCTTATCACGTGACAGATTTCCTACAAATTCGTTTGGTGTTAGAGGGTCACGCCTATTGAAAAGCGATTTTGTCTCAAGTGTATTTGTATCTGTATTACAGCTAATATAAAAATTATAGAGAATTACTCAAAATTAAATAATGTATATCAAACGTAGTAATATAACGACATCTAATTAGGTATGAGCTGCTTATTATGCTGATAACAGGTTACAAGGTTGCAGCACAACATGTAAACAAACCGATCACAAACATCAAGCCACGTGCGAATAACAAAACCATCGGCATGAAATATTCATACAGATTAGAACTTAAAGGTAAGTAACTAAAAGGCGAACAAAACAAAAGCTTCGCGTCATACAAAACCTTTAAATATCGTCATGATCGTAGAACAATGTCGGATTTGAAAAAAATCCAAAATCCACTTTTTATCATATTTGGATACTACATTGACTAAATATTACGGCTACATTAAAAAAAATCCATGTGTTTAAAATTTCCAATTAATCAGTCGGTAAAGTGACGGATTTGATAGAAACATGTGATTTTTCTAGAAAACTGTGTAATTTAATGTTATTATTTTGATTTTGTTCAAAACAAACCCTTTTGTTTGCTTATATGCCAATTTTTATATTAACAGAATAAAAATTAAAATAGTTATGACAAAAACTAACATGATTATATTATTTTGAAATGGCTGCCCTGTAATGTTTACTTTTTGTCAGATCCGTCACTATTCTACGACTTTGACGTATTCGTAGTGGTTATTCAGAAAATCTGCAGTAATACAATACTGAGAGATTAGAATTACTAAGATGTAGCGAGGTTACTTGTCGATTTAAAAAAATATGTTTTTCTAATATTTAGTTTCACACCTATATTTTGCTATAACTTATACGTTTAGTATAATTCCACTTATGTACTTGGTACACTGTATGTATTCTTAGATGCTACGTTAACACTGTCACTCGTGTTTGTCCGGTATATAAAAGGAGGTGGATATGCTAATATCGTGTAAGGGAACCCTAAGCAGGGCTATTTGCTAGCAACGCTGGTTGATATAATCATTGTAGGAAGCGGAGATTTCCTCCGACTGATTTCTAGTCAGCTTAATACTCCGTCGCATGTCAGCTGTAATGGCTGCTTTGTAGCCCCCCTTTCGGAGGAGAGAATCAATTGTATTTGGTCCCAGCCTGAAATTATTAATAATGTAATTTGACTTTGGGGGCATACAATATCACTACAGGCAGTCCTCGATTTACGTCGTTTCAAGTTACAATGTTTTGACACTATTCCTCAAGCATACGTCATTAGTTTCGATTTCCGGCATAGGAGAATTCACTTGTTTTGTGCAAATTTCTAAATGCCATGAAAATTTTTGAAGAAAATTATCCTAATTTTGAAAGATATATTCATCACGGACATAATATTAACATATTTATTTTTTACCTAGAACAAATCTCTGATGTAATGAATTATTCTATACATTTTCATCAGCTCTAAAACTGATTTAAAAATTATTTCACCATTATAACCGTTCCTGGTGAACATAAGCTATAGATTATTTTAAAAAGATTCCAATACAAAAAGGACCTATAAAAATTTATAAATCGCGTGCTCTACGAAAACTATTAACAATAGAGCAAATTGATGTACTAAAGTTTTATAGAAGACATCAATATTTATAAAAAGTCCGCGATATATCTAACAAAAAAAAAAGTGCGTGCGTATAAAGTACACATGTCAGAAGTGAAACTTCTTCGGCAAACTAATTTTTAAGTCTTGTACATATTTATACAAATCTAAAACTAGATTTCTGAGACCTAGAGGGAGGCAAAAAAGGAAGATATATTAGGAATTTAAATGAATTTAATTATCATTAAAATATAAAAGTATCGAAAATTAAAACAAATTATTAATTTAGATTACTAATTTAATTTTATTAATTTCTTTCTTCGATAGTAAAAACACGTGGCATTTTCATTTACAATTCGTCATTTGAGATTTCAATCAATTATTTTTCATAAAATATAAAATACTAATATTTCATAAATTCTCTTTACGAAATTTTAATTTTAAAAATATAATTTCTATAAGGTAATTCGTCCTTCTCACTCTCTCTCAATCGTTCTCTCCCTTTTCTTCGACATAAACGCTGCACATCTTCGTGACGTTTTCGTAAAAATTTACCCTCATGCGCGTTAGAAGTTTCGCTTCAAAAAACTAGCATTTAAAAGTATATTCACCGAGAACAGCTGTAGGCTATAGAACATCGTGCTACGATCGTATTAATGCGGCTGGAACCGCAGATCACAGCTAGTATTGATTAAAAAGTCAGTATTTTTAAAATCGTAATTCTTTCAATATTCTGTGCAAATTACAAATTACTATTAGATTACAAAATATGTACACACAAAAGCAGTAGGCAAATTTTTCGATATGAATCATATTAGACGCGTGACGCGAAGTACAGAAGGATGTTGAATGAAACACGTTTATTACTCGAGGACAATAAACACGACAGTGTCGCATGCGCACCATGGCCGATCCACGCTCGAAACGCATGCATGTATCCCTAAGGTACGTGAAAATTATTGTAAAATATCCATAATTGCATCTATCGACTATATAGATCTTCAAGATGACAACAAGAAACGGCAAATAAGTATAGCTTATAAGATCCATAAAAAAGAATTAATTATTTACACAACACATAATACAGAATACATCAATATAACATTTATGTGGAATCAATGTGATTTTGACTTTTGTTGTACTCAATAGTAATAATAGTAGACTGTATATAGTCCTTCAGGAAAGGAGTATTACCAAATCTTAAAAGGCTGGCAATGCACTCGCGAGCCTCCTGGCAATATGAGTATCCATGAGGGGCGATACCACTTAGCCTAAGGTAAATCCCTTATAAAATAATGGTAACTCTAAGGCTTAAGGAATACGCTGATTTGACTTTAAATCCAGACAAATAAATTATATTTGGGATGAAAGGCACCAAAACCGCGAGTCTGATTTGGAAAATCAACATCTACTATACGGCATTACTAGATAAATACATTTAAATATATTTAACAGTAAACACTTTGATTTATGAAATGACAGTGATATTTACGAATTACACATTGTACTTACTAAAGTAGGCATGGCATCTCAGAAACAAACATAACTTATTGTTATCAAAATAATATTATGAATTCTCAGAAATAACGTCAGAGATACATCGGGGCTTGTTACGCTCATAAATAATTTAAATTATTAATATAGAAAAATCGCAGAAAGAGCCAACCCTCGCCTCGGACAGGTCACTGGATTGATAACCTCTTTGCGAAGCTCCAATGGACCTTCGACACCGTCAGACGCAAGTAAGAACATCAAACGGCTGAGACGCGCGCAAACTTATAAAGGTGATCGACGCATACAACTATAATAGTTTGTCTTCGATCTCAGTCGACGATGTTTATCACATACAAGCAAACAAAAGGCCATTTTACTGACTAGACTACTTGCAATGACACACTTAAACGGTAAAGTGTAAACAGAAGAGTAAAACAATTTAAATTTCCCGGTATTTTGCTGCGCATGCGTGAGAGTCTGTCTGTGATTGGTCGCGTTTCGGAACTTTCAAAAATCAACATGAGTGAATTACACAGTGTCAGTCGATCTGCGTGCAACAGTAAAGGGAGCATGATTGTTGTTTCAAACAGATTACCTTTTGTTTTGAAGAGGAATGAGAAAACCGGTGTATTAGAGCGAAAAGCCAGGTAAGTCTGTAGAGTCTCTTATATAAGTATATTATTTCGCGTAAGTACAAAACGGCGCATTAATAATTTTTCGTTTCTTTGATACCTTTATCCAAAGTTTTCAAAAAATATTACTAAACTTGATTTTGTTTTGAGCGATTCGGAATTTTGAACTCGGATAATATTTTATAGCTAACAACAACATGGATGATTTAGAATTTTCCCCAGCTTTTAAGTACTAATCTAAGTAAGCTAATAATTTTGCTTTTTAATACAATTATTCTTTTGCATATTACAACTGAACCACGAAATTATGTGCGAATGTGTTGTGGACTAAACAAGGGTTAGCTGAAAACTATTAACTTTAACCTATGAGTTATATTTAAACATTTACTTATTTACAATATTTTTATGGGTTGGGTGCGATAATAGTGCGTTGGAATCTGATGATACTGATTATGCAGGAGTCCTCGGGGACCTTGATTGGAACACCTCCAAGTAATTTTAGCTGCCGGAAATGCGTCAAAGTATTTTTAAAAAAATTTAAAGTTTTGTGAAATGTATTGAAATTTGTAAACAATCCACCATTATCTACTTTTCTATTGGTTATAAGAGATGTGTCATTCTCGTTTTCTGTTGGTTATAAGTGAGGTGACATTCTCGGTAAATTAATCGGATCGATTATTTTCTGATTTGTTAATTTTATAGTTGAACCTAATTTAATCATTACTTGTCAAATGTACATACATTACATTAACTTCATGTTTCAATTAATGTATGGTTCCGAAAATTTTTAAATTATTCAAAAAGTACCCAAAACCGAATCAGAGCACCCCACTATCCACGTGGTCTTGTCTGCCTTACCCCTAGAGTGTTTATAAATAATCGGAGGCGCGGAGGAAGAGCATCCCCCACCCGCTGTAACAAAGCACAGGCATTATGAAAGCTGTAGCGGCTGAGGCTGGTCGCCGAAGGCGACCAGAAAGCCGAGGTTGCGGAGGCTTGAATAAACTGCCTGTGCTTTGGTACGCAAGGGTGGAGGGGCTGCATTTCCCGTAGCGCCGGAGCTGTCCAAAAAACAAATATTATTTAGTTCGGTTAGGTTAGGTTAGTATATGAATATTTGGTCGCCGAAGGCGACCAAGAAGCCGAGTTGCCGAGGGCTGAAAAAACAATTATTATTTAGATCGGAGCTGTCCAAAAAAACTAATATTATTTAGATCGGTTAGGTTAGGTTAGTATATGAATATTTGGTCGCCGAAGGCGACCAAGAAGCCGAGTTGCCGAGGGCTGAATAAACAATATTTATTTAGATCGGAGCTGTCCAAAAAAACTAATATTATTTAGATCGGTTAGGTTAGGTTAGTATATGAATATTTGGTCGCCGAAGGCGACCAAGAAGCCGAGTTGCCGAGGGCTGAAAAAACAATTATTATTTAGATCGGAGCTGTCCAAAAAAACTAATATTATTTAGATCGGTTAGGTTAGGTTAGTATATGAATATTTGGTCGCCGAAGGCGACCAAGAAGCCGAGTTGCCGAGGGCTGAATAAACAATATTTATTTAGATCGGAGCTGTCCAAAAAAACTAATATTATTTAGATTGGTTAGGTTAGGTTAGTATATGAATATTTGGTCGCCGAAGGCGACCAAGAAGCCGAGTTGCCGAGGGCTGAAAAAACAATTATTATTTAGATCGGAGCTGTCCAAAAAAACTAATATTATTTAGATCGGTTAGGCTAGGTTAGTATATGAATATTTGGTCGCCGAAGGCGACCAAGAAGCCGAGTTGGAGTAGATAAATAGGTGAGATTTTTAAAAAAAAATTTTTTGTTTCCGGCGCGCAAAATTTGAAGGGGGTGATTACTACACCCTTCCCCCCTTCCTCACCACCCCAGCAACCCCAAATTTGGGCGCATCGTTATCGAATCGTTACCTTTTTACTGCAAACATACTGCTATTCTCCTTACAATATTTATATAAAGTATTTACTTTATTACAAAATATATAAACAGACATCGTCCACAACAACGTAGGTAGGTCCTAAACCACAGGGTGTGGTTATCAATACAACAAACCTTACAACTGTTTTATTGATGTAACAGAAACTTCTTGGCGTTTTCAAATGGAACCACGTTATTTATAAATAGTGCAGAGGGTGTGAATGTAATACGACGACGAAATGTATTTTCATTTGACAAAAAAACAATGAAACAAAACGCACAATAGTCTTTTGTTTTACAATCTCAGCCTCAGGTCTTGATTGGAGTTTAGAAATGTCAGTAATAATTTGAATTGTCTGATGCAGACTTGATCTTTATTTCCAGTGCTGGTGGACTGGTAACCGCGGTCGCGCCAGTGGTTATACGCGGCAATGGTATTTGGGTGGGATGGCCCGGCATCCACTTGGATAACCCAAGTGAGAGCATTCCAGAATCTGACCCCAACGATAAGACGCCCACGGCTGGTCTACGATCTAGTAAGGTATGTTTTGAAAAATGCTATATTTATTTTAATAGTAATCATTTACTATCTTTATATTACATACGCAAGTAGATCTGACCTGTATCCGGGTCAATTATTGTTGTGCCAGAAAACCGGTGGCCGGTTTTGGGCCACACACACTGGCACAATTTTGGTAAAGAAGGAAAATTTATCCCTACTGTGAATCTGCGTTTTAATATTAATTATTTACTTCACTAAGTAGGTAAGTTCGGCACTACGTGTGTATGCTGTTCAGGCAGGATCCTTGAACTTGACCGCTAGCCGAATATTTTTGCGACCAAGTCGCCTTTAGCGAGACTAATGTTGAGTTCGCATCATAAAGTCCAATGAATCAATAATAGTAATTATGTATCGACGAATTACGTATACTACACATTAGTAATATATCACCCCCAACCCCATTAATATCAAGCACAAAATAATATAGCCTATTTGTGCTTTTATTAAAATAGAACGTTACAAAATTATTGTGTGGTTAATGTAAACCATATAGGGAGATTGTTATTTTTCCTAAGTCGAAAGGACACATAGGAATTACTTACTTCATTTGCTTTATCTGATAAAGGTATTTGATGAGGCTCATTAAACACCGTACACACCTGTGAATTTCCATACGAATGCTATCTCCTCTATTTACAAAAGCATTACCGTAAATAAAAGTTATATAAGAATTATAACACATTATAATTATGTCTTTATTATTATAACATGATGATATTAATTTATCCCTAATGGGAAAGGCAATGGACTTAAGTCCATACAGCCAGGTCTTGTTCTTTTTAATAATTGGAGAGTTTTGGGAGTTTTAAAGGCTGAAGACACGTCTTACGTAGTTAGGAGTCCATCTTGGAATCCTCTTATTATCATAAACCGTGTTTTTGTATGTTCTATACTTAGATTTATTAATTTCAGTTCGTTTTAAAATTTGATTGTTTGTTTGCTTTGAATAGGCTCCAAAACAACTCGAACGATTTGAAAATATTAAAAAAATATATATTATACCGTTAGAATAAATTGGGAAATACCTACCAATTATATCTGATGAACATATTATGCTATATAATATTTTCGTAAGGTTACCCAACGAAAAACCAATAAAATCACTAGATCACGTACGCTGCGGAAACTATTGACAGTAGAGAATTTAATAGAAGATATCAATATCTGCAAACTTAACCACATTTATCCAAATAAACGTCTCTTCGAACTTTAAATCAATTCGTATTCAAGGCTATATCAATATCTACCTATAACCCCGCATATACTATTAAAAGTTATTATGAGTGAAATAATTATCCAAATTGAAAAGAAACAGCGCTATGTGACTCTAGTGGTTTTCCGACCAAGAAGTATGAGTATGGGTAAAAGAGATTAGAGAGAGAAGAAGATTACAATATAACAATTATTGCTGAAACGTTGCAATAAAATTCGCCATAATACACGACATTCAAGCAATCGAAGTTGCGACCTGCAGCTAGTATTAAGTAAATTGTCACTTGAAGTTGGGTTCATAAGGAGTTATAAATTTTAATTACCTATTTTATATTATATTGCAGTCATAACATCGGTATTGTTTTGTTTCTTGATAAGTGATTGTTTGAATGCGGCCGCGACATATTTCCTAGATAAATAAGCTATATTATATAAAATGGATATAAATGAAAATATAATTAATCCTTAATTGCATTTAACAACCTGAATAGAATATTAGATATAACAGTAACCAACTTTAATATAAAAAATATAATGAAACTCTCCGCTTGCCTCTGACGAAATAACAAAATTATTTGTCCCATAGATACATTTGAATGGCTGTTCTATTGATATTCATAACAGTTTTTTTACAATCAAGATGTTAGGTGTAACAAATATAACGTCGTATTAGCCGTTAGTCATTACTCATTAGCAGTGAAGTACTTAGTTAGATGATACTAAACGAAAATACCTATTGCGTCGCCAGTAAACAAGTGTACCGGTGTAATTAAAGTGAAGGACATGTATACGATTTATCTAAATTGTATGTATGCGTTATTAGCCATTCAGATTTTCTGCCTTTTACGTATGCGAAATTGCTATTCCTATTCACAATAGTCATTGCTAGGCAAGTGTCAATTTTTATAGAAACAATAGAAAGAAATTAAAATTTTACCTTATCAAAAGACAAAATCTAAATCATTAATGTTGTTACAGATTGTAGCCATACATGCAGAACCAAAGCTTTTCGACAGATACTACAATGGATGCTGCAATGGAACTTTCTGGCCTCTGTTCCACTCTATGCCGGACCGAGCCACCTTCATTGCTGACAACTGGCGAGCCTATATCAAGATCAATGAGGAGTTCGCGGAGAAAACCGTACACGCCTTAAAGTTACTGAAGGAAACCAAACAGAAGAATGATTCACCGCCCATCGTCTGGGTACATGATTACCACCTTATGCTGGCTGCCAACTGGATTAGACAGGTGGGAATTTGGGTTAATTATTTTTTTTTATGTTACACAGTCATCTCATGGCCTTCCCAGCCATTTAATGAGACAAAATTGTTTTATAATTACTCTTTGAATCTACAGGAAATTGCTATGGAAACAATTAACTTATCGTAAAATCAGCTGCATAATAATGTCGTTTTCAAACTCAAACTCAAAATATCTTTATTCAAGTGGGTAACCAAGTACACTTTTGAATCGTCAAGTTAAATTAATCGTAAATTTACATTTACTACCAGTTCGCAAGTCAAGGGCGTAGAGCGGGTAAGAAGAACTGGCAAGAAACTTTCCGCCACTCTTTTTAATCGCCAAGTATTGTCATACAAATTGTTTGAACTGGAGCAATTCAATCCCAAGGATTAGGATCATTTAAGTAGTCCTCAAATTTATAAAAAGCTTTGTTGATTAATTTTCGTTTAACGAGGGCTTTGAATTTATTTAGTGATAATACTCTAATTTCGCTTGGGAGTTTGTTGTAAAAACTAATACAATTTCCATATAAGGAGTGGTTTATCTTTTGGAGCCTGGTTGGTCTTACACTCAAATTAGTTCTATTTCGCGTATTATACTGGTGAAAGTCACCATTTGTTTTAAAATCGTTTATATTTTTTTGGACATACAACAAGGCTTCAAGAATATATTGACCAGATAGTGTCATAATATTTAATTCCTTAAACTTATTCCGTACCGACTCCCTCGGAGAAACACAACAAATACCCCGAACAGCCCGCTTCTGCAGTTTCTATTACTATTAAAAAAGAGAATTCTTAATATCTAACAAATATAATTTATTATCGAGTCCGAAATACGACTAATTAGATTAATAGAAGACGAAAAATATTGTAGGGTTTCTTATATCAGGATAATTCAAGCGATCCAATCCAAGCAATCCTTCGACTTATTTACAATACCTACGTATTAATGTTTAATATTATGTTTATATTTATTGTTAGCGTGCTGAAGAGGACGAGTTGAAATGCAAACTGGCATTCTTCCTTCACATTCCATTTCCGCCGTGGGACATCTTCAGGCTGTTCCCATGGTCTGATGAAGTGCTACAAGGAATACTTGGTAAGAAAAATATTTATTGTGAAGTTGTGTAATTTAAAAGGTCAATCTAACATAGTAAAATCGGTCATTACTACCAGAGTTCAAGCCCTTAAGTCAAACATATAGTTTTAACATTAAGTTTACTATTTTACTTTTAAAGCACTTTACAATAGGTAGATTACTACCAGAGTTCAAGCCCTTAAGTCAAACATATAGTTTTAACATTAAGTTTACTATTTTACTTTTAAAGCACTTTACAATAGGTAGATTACTACCAGAGTTCAAGCCCTTAAGTCAAACATATAGTTTTAACATTAAGTTTACTATTTTACTTTTAAAGCACTTTACAATAGGTAGATTACTACCAGAGTTCAAGCCCTTAAGTCAAACATATAGTATTAACATTAAGTTTACTATTTTACTTTTAAAGCACTTTACAATAGGTAGATTACTACCAGAGTTCAAGCCCTTAAGTCAAACATATAGTTTTAACATTAAGTTTACTATTTTACTTTTAAAGCACTTTACAATAGGTAGATTACTACCAGAGTTCAAGCCCTTAAGTCAAACATATAGTATTAACATTAAGTTTACTATTTTACTTTTAAAGCACTTTACAATAGGTAGATTACTACCAGAGTTCAAGCCCTTAAGTCAAACATATAGTTTTAACATTAAGTTTACTATTTTACTTTTAAAGCACTTTACAATAGGTAGATTACTACCAGAGTTCAAGCCCTTAAGTCAAACATATAGTATTAACATTAAGTTTACTATTTTACTTTTAAAGCACTTTACAATAGGTAGATTACTACCAGAGTTCAAGCCCTTAAGTCAAACATATAGTATTAACATTAAGTTTACTATTTTACTTTTAAAGCACTTTACAATAGGTAGATTACTACCAGAGTTCAAGCCCTTAAGTCAAACATATAGTATTAACATTAAGTTTACTATTTTACTTTTAAAGCACTTTACAATAGGTAGATTACTACCAGAGTTCAAGCCCTTAAGTCAAACATATAGTATTAACATTAAGTTTACTATTTTACTTTTAAAGCACTTTACAATAGGTAGATTACTACCAGAGTTCAAGCCCTTAAGTCAAACATATAGTATTAACATTAAGTTTACTATTTTACTTTTAAAGCACTTTACAATAGGTAGATTACTACCAGAGTTCAAGCCCTTAAGTCAAACATATAGTATTAACATTAAGTTTACTATTTTACTTTTAAAGCACTTTACAATAGGTAGATTACTACCAGAGTTCAAGCCCTTAAGTCAAACATATAGTATTAACATTAAGTTTACTATTTTACTTTTAAAGCACTTTACAATAGGTAGATTACTACCAGAGTTCAAGCCCTTAAGTCAAACATATAGTATTAACATTAAGTTTACTATTTTACTTTTAAAGCACTTTACAATAGGTAGATTACTACCAGAGTTCAAGCCCTTAAGTCAAACATATAGTATTAACATTAAGTTTACTATTTTACTTTTAAAGCACTTTACAATAGGTAGATTACTACCAGAGTTCAAGCCCTTAAGTCAAACATATAGTATTAACATTAAGTTTACTATTTTACTTTTAAAGCACTTTACAATAGGTAGATTACTACCAGAGTTCAAGCCCTTAAGTCAAACATATAGTATTAACATTAAGTTTACTATTTTACTTTTAAAGCACTTTACAATAGGTAGATTACTACCAGAGTTCAAGCCCTTAAGTCAAACATATAGTATTAACATTAAGTTTACTATTTTACTTTTAAAGCACTTTACAATAGGTAGATTACTACCAGAGTTCAAGCCCTTAAGTCAAACATATAGTTTTAACATTAAGTTTACTATTTTACTTTTAAAGCACTTTACAATAGGTAGATTACTACCAGAGTTCAAGCCCTTAAGTCAAACATATAGTATTAACATTAAGTTTACTATTTTACTTTTAAAGCACTTTACAATAGGTAGATTACTACCAGAGTTCAAGCCCTTAAGTCAAACATATAGTATTAACATTAAGTTTACTATTTTACTTTTAAAGCACTTTACAATAGGTAGATTACTACCAGAGTTCAAGCCCTTAAGTCAAACATATAGTTTTAACATTAAGTTTACTATTTTACTTTTAAAGCACTTTACAATAGGTAGATTACTACCAGAGTTCAAGCCCTTAAGTCAAACATATAGTATTAACATTAAGTTTACTATTTTACTTTTAAAGCACTTTACAATAGGTAGATTACTACCAGAGTTCAAGCCCTTAAGTCAAACATATAGTTTTAACATTAAGTTTACTATTTTACTTTTAAAGCACTTTACAATAGGTAGATTACTACCAGAGTTCAAGCCCTTAAGTCAAACATATAGTATTAACATTAAGTTTACTATTTTACTTTTAAAGCACTTTACAATAGGTAGATTACTACCAGAGTTCAAGCCCTTAAGTCAAACATATAGTATTAACATTAAGTTTACTATTTTACTTTTAAAGCACTTTACAATAGGTAGATTACTACCAGAGTTCAAGCCCTTAAGTCAAACATATAGTATTAACATTAAGTTTACTATTTTACTTTTAAAGCACTTTACAATAGGTAGATTACTACCAGAGTTCAAGCCCTTAAGTCAAACATATAGTTTTAACATTAAGTTTACTATTTTACTTTTAAAGCACTTTACAATAGGTAGATTACTACCAGAGTTCAAGCCCTTAAGTCAAACATATAGTTTTAACATTAAGTTTACTATTTTACTTTTAAAGCACTTTCAAAGCAGATACTAGAAATTAATAAAAATAATTATATTTACAACAGAAAATTTATATAAATTGCATATAACTCCGTTCTATTATTTGTTATATTCGTAACAGTGATTATAAATAAATGCAACTGTTTATGTTGAAATTATTACTAAAATACCCATATTTTAGGATGCGACATGGTCGGATTCCATATTACGGACTATTGCTTGAACTTCATCGATTGTTGCCAAAGAAATCTGGGTTGTCGTGTTGACCGTAAGAACCTGCTGGTTGAATTGGGAGGTCGGACAATTTGTGTTAGACCACTCCCGATCGGTGTGCCATTCGACCGGTTTGTCACTCTGGCTCAGAACGCTAAACCAGTGCTGTCAACAAGCCAGAAAGTAATTCTCGGTGTGGATAGACTGGATTACACCAAAGGTTTAGTTCATAGGCTCAAAGCGTTTGAGAGGCTACTGCTAAAACATCCGGAACATATAGAAAAAGTTGTGCTGCTTCAAATTTCGGTGCCATCGAGAACAGACGTTAAGGAGTATCAGGATTTGAAGGAGGAGATGGATCAGTTGGTTGGCAGGATTAACGGAAGGTTCACGACGCCAAACTGGTCGCCAATTAGGTAAGATAAACCAAAATTCTTTAGATAAATTTTGGACTTTTATTTAAAAACAAATTGCATAGATTAATGTCGTGTTTGATTTATTATATAACCAAATATATTTTATATTCATATAAGATGTACTAATGACGAATACTAACAACGGCCCGCCAAACCGTAAATCGTACTTTATGTACAGTCACAGTTACCAATAAAATTATATAATAATTCAAGACTTCTTATAATATGCTTGGAATGGGACAAATAATTTTTTTATTGATTTAAAGTCCTATCTGGCTTTGAGAATGAAACTACTACAGGCACTTTTTGACGGAGGCGGTAATAACAATAGTATAATCAATAAAGCTACAAAATGGCGTTTAGGTATATCTACGGCTGCGTCGGGCAAGACGAGCTGGCTGCTTTCTACCGCGACGCAGCTGTTGCATTGGTCACACCACTACGAGATGGAATGAACCTAGTAGCGAAGGAGTTCGTGGCGTGTCAAATTAATACACCTCCTGGTGTTCTGATACTGTCTCCTTTTGCTGGTGCTGGAGAAATGATGCACGAAGCTCTCATATGTAACCCGTACGAGTTGGATGATGCAGCAGAAGTTATTCATAGGTGAGAGATTACACTTAAAATCAAAGGTAAAGTGTATTTTTCACTTTTAGTATTGCATTTAACTCAATTTAAAGATTTCGCAAAACTGTCGCGTCGGTTATAAGGGGCTAACCAAACAAAAATTTATTGAATCAATCATCAAACATCCTGAATAAAATACTGACCCTTGCTCTTATAATTATTTCATAATATAATTTGAATAATAATTTTTATTTCCAGAGCCTTAATAATGCCCGAAGACGAAAGAACAGTCCGTATGAACCACCTGCGCCGAAGGGAACAAATGAATGACGTGGATAGTTGGATGAAGAGTTTCCTCAAAGCAATGGACTCGCTTGAGGAAGAGACAGATGATATTGGAGCTACCTCCATGCAACCCGTCACTATTGATGACTTCGACGAGTATCTCTCAAAGTAAGAACATTTATTTACTAGCTGTGTAAAAGTCGTAGCCTTTACCAATGAACTAACCAAAACAAAGAATTTTGAAATCGAATTAGGCTATGGTGTTCAAGCAGACAAACTCTTCAGCTTTAGAAGCACAGAATATTCAATGCTTACATAACTATAGTAGTATAAAAACATTCATTCTGAGACAATTTTACACACTAAAATCAACGAATCTACGATTGACTTTTTCGTCCTCAATAATTAATAAGAAAATTCTTGAATTTGGAATGTAAGTGCTTAATTTCTCATATCATTATCACAATTTTGGTTCCTTTTTTATACGTAATATTTGATTAAAACTATGTTTTTTCAGATACATTGGTTACACCCAAAAGTTAGCTCTCTTATTGGACTACGATGGTACGTTGGCTCCTATAGCGCCACATCCCGATCTGGCCACTCTCCCATTGGAAACTAAGCATACCCTGCAACGGCTGTCAAATATGTCGGATGTCTACATCGCCATTATATCAGGCAGAAACGTCAATAATGTCAAAGAAATGGTGAGTACAGGCTTAAGTCGTTTCGAACATGGCATAAAACAGCATACATACACTTGGATTTCGAAAATCCACTGCATTTTATATTCTAAGTTTAATAATTTCTACGAAAGTCTAAGGCATGCCGGTTTCCTCACGATGTTTTCCTTCACTGTACGAACGAGCGTTAGGGATCGAACCTACGACCCCGGGGATAGGAGTCAGCGTGCGATTAGACTAACATGCCCAACACAACTGGCTCGTAAACTTACTGGTTTACAAGCCTTTAAGTAATTCAAAAATAAATAATCGCCCTAAAAATGATAAGGACACATTTCATGGATTGATCAATTCTACACTCCCTATTATAAAATAAGTAGAGAAAACCAGTTTTTTTTATAACTTGACAAATTGTTTCCAAACTGAGATTAGACAAATTAACATTACGTAACATTTCTGTATAATTAATTAAAACTAAAATTACATACATAGGAGTGTATCAAATTGTGATAATAAGAGTGTGACCAACTTTATCAGTCAAATATTATACACGTGGTATTATTAGTAATTTATTTTTCCTCTCCATCTGAGGAAAACTTAAGTAAAAATTTATATATACCGGAAGTATTTCGCATTATGGTCGATGTGGTTGTGTCATATGGAGTTAACGGTAACAAGTTTATTACCGATAATAGACATAATAATAGATTCAAAGACTTGAATTAAAATACACAACAAACAGTTTTTAATTTTATTTTACACAAATTATGAACATTTTTAGGCACTGAAAAAATGATGCAATTGTGATTAATCCCTGCGTTGTTATATATTATTAAAGTCTCCAATCACGCCAACACAGGATTAAAGCAAAACAAAAACAGTCGATAAGGAAAGTCGTAAAATTTATCACCATTTTTGTGACCCAGAATGTCTGTACTTTGTACCTTCTTTGCCCCCATTTGCCTCTTAACATTAACCCTGTTATGATATCTGATTATACCTAGGAGATATGGCTACAAAAAAAACATACAGCATTTAATTACATATATATTTGCAATATTATAAATGATCAGTGTCTAAATCGCTATTTCCTGCCGAAAATAGTTTGTAATAGAATATAATATGAAGAGGTCAGTAAAAATAACAGTCTGATAGATAGAACCATGTTATGTTTTCGTATATATATCTAGCGATGTTCTTAGAACTCAGATATGACCTTTATCGCACATTATGTAAAAAAATCCTTTATTTAATTTTCTTTCATTCATTAAATCCGCAGTTTTAGTTTAAACGACCTCAGTTCGCAATAACAAGACGTTATCTTGAAACTTTGACCTGCATATCGGACAGTTAAAATATTTATATTGTCGAATACGGTCAGGCTAATATTATTATTATTAATTATAGAATAACCAATACTACTTGTATTGGTTATTCTCATACAGCTAGAAAGAGGTCACGGCTCGATATTGCGTTGTATTACGTTTGTATAAGATCATCTACGTAAATGTTCGTCAATAAGTTTTCGAATAAAAAGTGAAAAAAATAATAGTAGGATAAAACCTATTGGAAAGGGAGGATAATATTATAAAAATTAAAGGAAAAATAATTAACGGGCGATCTGAGGTCGGGAAGGGGGGAGTTTTAAGGGTAAAAAACGGTTTATCTCGATTTCCGGCAAAACTAAAAGTCCTATGGAAAAAAGTCAAATGGCAAAGTTGTAGGTAATAAAAAGATCTAAAACTTTTGTATTTACACATTTTATATTCTCTTCCTTTTCCAATAGGTTTCATCCTACAATTATTTTTTTAGGTTTCAAAAATTATCGGCACTGGTCTAATAATCTCCCACCATATTTAAAACAGAGATATGTTCCTACTTCACTTAAATTTATAACTAAAATTACATAAAACATGAATATTTTTTAGGTTGGAATAGAAGGTATAACATATGCTGGTAGCCATGGTCTGGAGATCTTACACCCCGATGGCAGCAAGTTCGTGCACCCAATGCCAATGGAGTTACAAGATAAGGTCGTCGACCTACTCAAAGCATTGCAAGAACAGGTATGTTATGACTACTACGCTTGAGGTAAAAGACCTCGGTTGATTGATTTTATAGAAATAAACCAGAATCGTAATTGTAACCTATCTGCACTATAAGATTAAATCCCCAGATATTATAGGGTCTCCTCATAGCTTTCGATACGGTATTTTGTGATATTCCTACTTGCTTGGGCTCCTTTGGAAGTTCAGCAAGGACCAAGACAGTTTTATAAATTTCAAAACGCTTTAGTAATCTTCTGTAGCCAAGCAAGCTAGTCTCCAAATAATTGGTCCTTCAAGCCGGATTTTAATGACATATTTTAAATTTAATAATAGGTATGTAGAGACGGTGCCTGGGTGGAGAACAAAGGTGCTCTGCTAACCTTCCATTTCCGAGAGACGCCTGTGGCTAAACGTGCCGCTCTCGCAGAAACTGCGCGGAGACTTATCACCTCTGCTGGCTTTACACCTGCTCCCGCGCACTGCGCTATTGAGGCGAGGCCACCTGTACAGTGGAATAAAGGTAATAATAGAGAAATATAGACCCTTGCAACTATTTAGTTTTTTCTATAATTTGAATATAAAATATTATTGCTTGAAGCGACACCAATAATATAAATAATTGTATAGGTCGTGCATCTATTTACATCCTGAGAACTGCATTTGGTCTCGATTGGAGTGAGAGGATTCGTATTATTTACGCCGGTGATGACGACACAGATGAAGACGCAATGCTGGTGAGTTAGATTATATTTTTAATATATTATTTCAATTCTTACGCCATTACAAATTCTAATATTAATTATTTTCCAGGCACTAAAAGGTATGGCCGCAACATTCCGTATAGCATCATCGAACATAATAAAGACGTCCGCAGAACGTCGTTTGTCATCCACAGACTCGGTACTGGCAATGCTCAAATGGGTTGAACGACATTTCTCCAGACGTAAGCCCAGGGCAAACTCTCTCACATATAAAAGTGCCAGATTAACTCGCGATACACTTCAGATGCATGTTTCGTACCAACTTCCTGCTCGGTCTCCAAGACATACTCCACCACGCACCCCTGATAAGATCTCTGATAAATCTAATTCAAGTGGATCAGAATCCAGTTAAATTACTAATTGCCAATATGAATACGGCAAATATTACAACTTTTCTACTGCATTAAATTATCTTTGGTCATTTTTAATGTATGAATTCTTTAACTAAAATTATCATGATGTGAATCTGATTTTTGTTAAAATTATTTTTTAAACTTCAGAAAGATCGTAACATGATATTTGGCTACACATGTTATTTATATTTAGATACTTTTATGTGAGTTTTCAATTTATTTATTTATAATTAGTTAATTTTAACCGTGAATTTTATATGGTCGCGTGAAAACATTTCATAAGTTTACGTTGATTGGATAAACATTTGTGATAACATATTATGTATTAAAAATTCAAAATAGAAAGTAAAACTCGCACATTTAACTATAACGTTATACAACATCCAAACTTTACACCAATTTTCTGGTACAAATTACAAGTTTTCGGACCCCTTTAACTTTTGATAACTTTGTATGGTGTGAATGCCAATTTTGATAGATTTACATTTAAAATTCCTCAAACGGAATATAGATGGCGCCGACTAAGTTCTTTCGCAGACAATATCTTTCGAATATTAAAACAAAAAAGTTCCTATACAAAAATCTAAAAAAAATTACGTATTTCAATTGTATTTATCATAAAATTCCGTATTTAGGGGTATATAGTTGTAGTATAAGCACAATTTTTAAAAATTATTTTAAGTAATTCAATACTCTCAAAAATGGCTGTTTTTTGTGTGTATGTGGGAGTGAATAAACTAGTCGTATTACAAAGACTAGAAGTTCTAAATATTATTTCCATAACTTATGTATTTTAAGATACAATGTATGTTTTCTATGTTAGAAATAAAATTCTTAATGGATAAAAATATGTTTTTTATTAATAAATATGTACAAAAATGTTGTTGAAAACATGATATTTCAAAATTCCGAAGACATTTTAAATATGAAAAATAATTAAATTAAATATAGAAAAATACTGTAAATCCGTAATGGAATGTGCTGAAGAATTTGGTGAGTATAAAAAGACAAACTTAGTCATATAATGGTCCTAGGTTAAAAGTACGCCACGAGACAACTTAATCTAATTTCTGCCATATTTAACTCTGTAAGCAAACAATTCACAGGAATTAAACACCACGCTTAGTTACCGATTTGAGGATTATCAATTGAAAAGAGCAAATTAGTAAAAAAATCGCGGCAAAACAATTTTTATAGCGCCACCTGGTGGGACATATACAAAAAAATCTAACAATCAGTTACCAAAACCTTTGGTATGAATCACAAAGAAATTCGAACAATTATTTTGCTCTTTAGATGAATATATAATGGTCATATTAAAAAACATATTGGTTTAAAGAAGTTGTGTCGTTTTACTATGATATTTCTAACTAGGTTAAAAATAGTAATATAGATATAGTATTTTCACTAAACTTCATAGTATACATACGCCAAACAGACCTAAACGCAGATTTCAAAATTAGTCCCTTCGCCGCTTAACCTTAATACTTATTAAAACATTACACTGTATATGTATCATAAATTCATATACATATTAATAACTTACTTTACATCAAATATTCACAAATTATCCTACAAGTCATTATCACAAATTGTGCTCCTAAGCGGTGTGTGAAACGACTAGCCACGATAGTATGAAGTAAAACAAGCAAATGGGGTAAACTGCTAGACCTTTTTTACCTTCAGGTTGGCTATCACCAAGGAATTTTGTTGCAGCTGAAAAAAAAATGTTCTATAATGGAAGTGTTCTGGTTATAAATCAAAGAATATAAGAAATGGTCAAAGCTGAATGAACCAGCTAGATCATTATGGTTTATGAGACAACAAAACAAAAGAGGTACGCAGTCAGGAACATGGGAGGACAGGATCACTTATATTATTTCTGGACGGCTCATATAATTATTATTATTATTGATGAAAAAAATGCCTAGGAATATATCCTATAATGTCAAAGAGGAAAACGCAATGCCAAAGGATCAACCCAACAAGAAAAAGCTCTACATTGATTAGTCAAATCAGTGGCACAAGTACCTGTGCCATGCCACATTAAAACCACTTCAAATAACAAATATAATTAATGTGTTAGAATATTTGTTTCTAGTTGTTCTTGTAATTAGTGATTGATTATTTCTATCACATTTCTGATAAACTATATGTATTTATGAAAATTGTTTTTAACAAAAAACACAAAAAGTTTATCTCAACTAATCAATAAAACTTACCAAATGTTGCCCATATGAATCCAACCATAGATATGACAAATCGTAGGAAGAATAGAAATGTATTTTGTGTACTGAACAATATCACTCGGCAAATGACTAGAGCTAATGCAATGGGGAAAAGACAATATCCCAACACGCATACTGATTGGAAAAATGACCTGAAATATGCAAAAAAAATATTATATCAATATAAAGATTTTTAACTAATCATAGATTTCTATCTTAGACTCTACTTTTTACCAAAACACAATCTAAGCAGTGTGTTTAATATATTGAATTTATATTTTAGTTTGACAACTTACATATTTCCACCAAGTAGCTTAGAATTAAAGGTCACAATAGCTGCACCTATCCACACCAGTACAAAGACTTCTGCAAACTCAGGGCCTCCGTCACCTGTTTTATTTGTGGGTTCTGACGAGCCTTGCAGAACAGTTGCCATGAATGTACAAAGTAATAATGGGCCCCATAGATCCCCTGAAATTTTAACAAAACAAGATTATTATTGGATTAAAGCATAATATTATATTTGAATACTAGCTTACAACATAATTTTGCAAATATTATTTAAAGATCCATTTTTATTTACATCAATAAATCTAATCATATCTACGTAACATAAAGTTCCACTTACATTCTTTCAATAAACTTGTTTTCTCTCTTGGTATTAGTACATGGTAGAATTTATTACCCACGGCTCTTAAGTCTCTTAGCTGAAATAAGCATCAAAATACATATCTTAGTCATATAATAGATCTTTTAAATATAATTTTATAATAGTTTGGATAAATTCTACAAATAAATACTTAGCAAATTTGTAAATTTAACAATTAAGTTATTATTTGGTTGCATGCTTAAACTGGTTAATATGCTTTTATAAATAAAGTATAGATTAAACATATAAAAAGAACTACTTTTTAAATGTAAAAGGAAGTAGATTATGTCATTTAGTGAAATAAAATTTATGATATCTAATGTAAATAATTTATTTTTTACACACATAGACATTCAATCTAAGTTTTTCCAGGGTTTTCTTGTACAAAAACCATAATTCTTGTTTCTAATGTTTATAATTGGAAACACAGTATAATATGATTTTTTTATAACTAACAATATATCATAAGGTATACACATAAGGAAACTCACAAATGTTTCTTTAATTGGTTCATCTAGAGTATTAAACTCCATTGTATCACCAGAAGGCACACCCTGGCCTGGAATGTTCATTTCACCTTCTATAACTCCTACATCACCAGCAGGAAACATCTGAAAATATTAAGATGTAAATAACTTTGGTAAGTGTGCAAGAAAAAAAGGGCGCATTGGTGTAAATGTACCTTTCACACCCTTCTCTACTAAATACGAAAACATAAATTATATAAAGTATAAAAGTAAGTATTGTATGTAGATAATAAAGTACATAATATTTTAAGAACTTTCAAAATAAATAATGAAACCAAATGTAAAAAAAATATACGTACGTCGTATTTGGAATCAAATGTTGCCATTGAGTCTTATTCGTTAATGTCTGTAGTAAAGAATACAATATTACAATATTATAAATAATTCAACACATCAAAACCCAGAAACTTTTCAAAAAATCATTTCCACGATAGTAATTCGTAATAATTCTTCATTGATTAGTTTACAAATTGTCAAATTGTCAGTGTTAAATTGTCTTGCCTAATGTCATAATATCAACCTTATGAGATACCTGCACAGATTACCTCTCCGGTAGACCGTAGCGTGTATGGCCGGCATTACAACAAGATGCAATATAACGTGAAGTAAAATAATAAAGATAGCTACACACACTCGACGAGACGTCGATCTAGAACGAGTCTTGGCATACTCGTGCTCCAGTAACACTTAAGTATAACTAACTTTGTATGAAAATTTGTCGACACGAACAATTTAGTTTTCAACTTTCTACATTCACTATATTGTACTGTTAAGGCATCTTGACTAAACCCCCAACTTTTATCGAGCGAACAAGACCCGAGCGTTAGCAACAATTAAAAACAAGTGAGACTACCGTATCGAAACAAAAAAAAAACGACCTACAGCTAAAATATTTATAATTGGGTAATTAGTTATAAAACAAAACGTGCGTGTACTACTTATGTATACGCGTTAGAAGTTATAGTTCTTTGGCGTAACAAGGTAAAAATCTTTTCAAAAATATGTATCTTTATTATTAGCCTTATTCTACGTTTGTAGGAAAAACGACACTAACAATTGAAAAAAATTACTCTCATCATTTTTCCCTAACGCTCCAAAAGAAGAATAACTTCAAAAATTATTTTATTTTTAATTAATTATTAATTAAAGTAATTATTGTTATTTCAGTTCGTATTTCTTTACGGCTATGTCAAATGAAGTCATCTGGGCCTATAATGTAGAGCCTGAACGCGATTTTTTTTATTGAATTTTTTTTTCATTGCATTTGTTCGTAGCTAAATAAAAAATCTTTACACTGTAGCTGCAGGCACTGCGTACCTAGAAATAATAACAAAGAAATCTGAACCGCATAATTCGCTGCAATCACAGAAGCAGACGCCACCGGCATCGGTAACTCTATTGTCCTCGCGGAAATTCTTGTTTGATCGTTTTGTTTAGATTTATATTTATTTTATGGAAACAATTTGGTTAAATAAATAATCATTCTAGTTTTGACATTGAAATTCTTCTTTGATTTTAAAGATTTTTTATTTATCATGCACTTCTTAGGCTGGCAGCATACACACGTTTTCGCATACACAATTTCCGAATGCGGAATTTCGATTTGGAATCCCGTGAGACTAGCGCAAACATTCGTTTTTCTTCATACGGAATGTATACAATCTAGGGATGTGACATTCTGCATAAAAAAATAATTTTTTTACTAATCGATTATTTTTTTAAGAAAAATCGATTAATAAATAATCGATTTTTTTTATTAATCGACTTTTTCCTCATTTTTGAATTAATTTCAAAATAAACACCCTAAATATTTTATTTTTCATGGTTCTTTTTAAATAAAAATAAACAATAAAAATTATAAACACAAATTAACGTTTAAGAATAATCAAAATCGATTATCGAATCTCGTTTTGATAGATTTTAGGTGAAATTTGATAAATGCTGAGTGTATGCCTTTTCAGTAGCACATTGCAGTATTTTGTTGTCTTTTTAATTGTATGTAGTCTTGCGTGCTGAAAAAATTTATTTTACTTTTAAAGTATATATTCAAACTTGAGTTTTTGTGAAATTAACTGGTTTTATCATCCTTTCGATGTTTTACAGAAAAACATCGATGCATCTTCAAAGAATCGGATTCAATGTATATCGAATATCCCTAATAGTTCGAGGTCCGGGTTATAAAAGACCAGACATAATGTCGGGAGGTAGCAGATAAAAAATCGAGTATGATTGATTTTTAATTATAAAAATAATCGATTATTTTAAATATAAAAATCGCGTAAAAAAATCGATTTTTACTTTTAAAAAAATCGATTTTAATAGTTTTTTTTAAAAATCGATTATTTTTTCACATCCCTAATACAATCAGTACAGATAGTGATAGCGTGGTGAACGCACGACGATGGAGGACGACGATTTATTATTATCAATTGCATTTTTCATTTAACAATAAGAAAAAGAAACGTCGGTATTGGGTACATCCATTGAACACTCGAAATACGTTCTCCCAGTCCAAATCTTTGACATCTCTGTTGTGATAGTCGTTGTCATCAATATTCCACAGGCAGGGGTATTTTTCAACAGCAAATATTAATATTTCTGCCTCGCACATTTTCGTGTTGCATTTCTATGGCGTAACAAATACAGAGAATCCGTCCGATGCACGCAGCGCTGGCGCGATACTGAATAGAAAATAGAAAATAGAAATTTCCGACAAAATGTATGCAAGTGTTGCGTTCCGAGTGACGTCATTAGGTTTTTTCCAGTAGGTTTCTCAGAAAGCGCCGACTTGCACAGGTTGCACTCGAAACGAACGTGCGGAATTTATTCCGTTCGGAAAAACAGCAAACGTGTGCGTCAGTTAATACATTTTCTACTGATTCCATGCATTCGGATGTCCGAATACGGAAAACGAATTAGGAAATCGAATACGGAAAACGTGTGTATGCACTTAACCTTACATTGCGTTGGTTTTCTTTTCTATGTTCCATTTATTTTTAACATGTGTCCTTATGAGCCAGCTGCCAGCTACTAACATTGACACTAAAAATAAAGGACCAACATAATATTGCTATTTTAGCATGGTATTCATGTTTTAGTTTTTGTTCTTAGGATTTTATATAATTTTCGGCGGTAATAATAATATAGTGCGTTTTCCAATTACAGCACTAGAGCGCATTATGCGGCATAATGCTCAACGTTGAATGTTCCAACTACAGCAACGCTTCGCACAATTGAGCACTCTCAAAAGTAATGCTCTCGCGTGCTTCTCGCAATCAATACCAACACAGTGACAGAAAATTGACCAGTGTTTTTCTTTAAGTTGGCATTGATCGAAATTTTCGTTAGTAAATATTATTTATTGTTGAAAAATTTGTAAGGCTTTCGTTTCGTCGTAGATTTTGAAAATAATTAAAGTTATTTCAAACTGCTAAAAAAAAAAATATAAGTATGGATGAAGGTATAAATAGTTACTTTTTTTATATTCCACATTTAAAATATGAATACAAATTCATTTTAAAATTCGGATCTGTAAACAAATTTATTTTACAGGATTATACTTTTGTAAACATTGCAATGGTTTTGAAAAAGTAAATAATTTTTTTAGAAATCATTTAAAAAAATTACTCAAAACGTAAATGATGTAAACTTCTTACATGAGACTAAATATTTTACTGTTAATTTAGCTTGTTAAAACCTTATATTCTTTAAAGGTTTTCTCTTATTTCAGTAAAAAAATGTTAATGAAATAATCAAAATCCAAATTACTTAAAATAAGCGTAAATAGTTTTCAACCAATTATTATTGTTTACCACATTATTTATACATTAATGAGGTTGCTAAAGGTGCGGTTACACGGGCAACTAAAATTGCTTAATTCCAGTCAATACTCGTCAACTATGACGTCATCGAGCAATTTACGGAAACGGCAACAAGCATCAATACTGCGGAATACAATATTGAGCGATATGGCGCAACTTAATCAACTAGGCAATACTGTCCTACACGAGCAATTCAGTATTCGATCGCTATAGACGACATTGTTCTTGCTGCGGCGGCTTGTAGCGCTTTTTTCATTATTAATCAAAACCAAAAAAGATAGAAAAGGAATAGGCGTATCTGGGTGCGATCGTTTTTGGCCGCAATTTTCATTGTGTAAATAATTAGATGATAAAAACTTTACTAGAATGTCACGAACAGACTTTGAATTACTTTTGAATAAAGTAATTAGAAATAATAATTATTTAGACCTCTCGCTCTCCCCGCGGAAGCAAGACGGCAAGCCGCAAAACAAACAAGTGCGAATGAGATATATACAAAAATTGCTAGGAATTTAAAAGTCCATTGGATATTCGTCAATTTGGATCTTCGACATTGGGCGATATGAAATATCTGGAGCAATTAAAAGCAATATCGCCGAAATAATTTATTGAAATTTAATAAATTTATTGAAATTGCTCCAGATCGGTCCATTCGTGTCGCCGAGCAATTATTGCCGTCGAGTAAGTGCACCTTAACTCTATACAGAACATTTTTTTTTTCAACACTGACTTAGCGCACTCTGCTGATGCATTTGAAAACTAATTCACGTTCCAACTACAGAGCATAATGCGACTCAGTGCCGCACAATGCCGCATTATGCTGAAGCTTAATTGGAACGTGAATTAGTTTTCAAATGCATCAGCAGAGTGCGCTAAGTCAGTGTTGAAAAAAAAAATGTTCTGTATAGAGTTAAGGTGCACTTACTCGACGGCAATAATTGCTTGCATGTTGAATTTGTATGAATTGAGTTAGCAACCTCATTAATGTATAAATAATGTGGTAAACAATAATAATTGGTTGAAAACTTTTTACGCTTATTTTAATCATCAAATTATTTCATTAACATTTTTTTATTGAAATAATAGAAAACCTTTAAAGAATATAAGGTTTTAACAAGCTAAATTAACAGTAAAATATTTAGTTTCATGTAAGAAGTTTACATCATTTACGTTTTGAGTAATATTTTTTAATGATTTCTAAAAAAATTATATACTTTTTCAAAACCATTGCAATTTTTTCTAAAGTATAATCCTGTAAAATAAATTTGTTTACAGATCCGAATTTTAAAATAAAATTATATTCATATTTTAAATGTGGAATATAAAAAAAGTAACTATTTATCATCCATACTAATATTGTTTTTTTTAGCAGTTTGAAATAACTTTAATTATTTTCAAAATCTACGACGAAACGAAAGCCTTACAAATTTTTCAACAATAAATAATATTTACTAACGAAAATTTCGATAAATGCCAACTTAAAGAAAAATACTGGTCAATTTTCT